GATTGAAGGAAGAAGCCCCGTAGAATATTAAATCAATCCTTGTAGCAGAGGAAACATCCCATGACGACAAATCTTGATTAAAGGCTGAAGCTCCATAGAACACACCCGACATTCTTGTGGCGGAAGACACATCCCATGTTGATATGTCTCCATTAAAAGAAATTGCCCTCCTGAACATTGAATTCATGTTGGAGAGAGACGAGACGTTCCACAATGACAAGTCTCCGTTGAATGATGTTGCTTCGCTGAACATTCCCCCCATACCGGTCACAGAAGAAACATTCCATAGTGATATGTCTCCATTGAACGCTGATGCGCCATCAAACATTACTGCCATGTTCTGGACTGAGGAAACGTCCCACAACGACAAGTCTCCGTTGAAGGATACCGCCTTGTAGAACATGTTTGCCGTGGAAATAACGGAAGAAACCTTCCATGATGATATGTCTCCATTGAACAGTGATGCCTCGCCAAACATCCATCCCATATTAATGACGGAGGACACGTTCCATGATGAAAGGTCTTGGTTGAACGATGACGCACGGCGGAACATTCCCCCCATATTGGTCACAGAAGAGACATCCCAAGAGGACAAGTCTTGGTTGAATGATGTTGCACCATAGAACATTTCCCACATTTTGGTCACAGAAGAAAAGTCCCATGACGACAAAGAATGATTGAAGGAAATTGCGTTGCAGAACATCATGCTCATGTCGGTGACGGAAGAAACATCCCAAGAGGACAAATCTTGGTCCAAGGAACCTGCGTTGGTAAACATCCGATGCATCGTTGTGACAGAGGAGACGTCCCACAACGACAAGTCCTGATTGAAGGACGATGCAGCGAAAAACATCCACTGCATATCTTTGACAAAAGATACATCCCAGTTTCCAATATCCTCATTGAAAGTAGTACGAGCACGGAAAAGTTCTCTCATACTAGTGACACCTGAACTGAAACACCAATCTCCGATTTGCCCATACTGGGCCTCGACTAATGCCTTCAATTCAGAAGACTGAAACCAATCATCAACTGTATTCTTAAGCTCAAAGTTGCTTTGAAAACATGGCTTTGTTGATGGCGGTGTGGGTTGAGGTGTAGGCCCAGGTGTGGGTTGCAAAGTAGGCCCGGGGGTTGGCGCAGGAGTAGGTTGGGCCGTCGGTAAGGGAGTAGGTGCAGGAGTGGGCCAACGAGTCGGTCCAGGAGTAGGAGTTCGAGTTGGCACTGGTGTTGGTAGAGGCGTGGGATTGGCAGTTGGTCGAGGTGTAGGCCCAGGTGTGGGTTGCAAAGTAGGCCCGGGGGTTGGCGCTGGAGTAGGTTGGGCCGTCGGTAAGGGAGTAGGTGCAGGTGTTGGTGGTTGAGTGGGCCAACGAGTCGGTCCAGGAGTGGGTGGTCGAGTGGGCCAACGAGTCGGTCCAGGAGTGGGTGGTCGAGTTGGCGCTGGTGTTGGGCGAGGCGTGGGATTTGCAGTGGGTCGAGGTGTAGGTTGAGCCGTAGGCGGCAAAGTAGGCCCAGGCGTCGGACGTGAAGTGGGTGGAAGTGTAGGCCGAGCTGTAGGTGGCATTGGTTTTGGAGGATTGGTTGAGGTTTGACCTGGTGTGGGTCGTGGAGTCGGGGCTTCTGTTGGACGAGAACTGGGACTTGATGTCGGTCTGGGAGTAGGATTCTTGGTCGGAGCAGAAGTCAGCTTTGGTTTTGGAGGATTGGTTGGGCTCGGCACCGGACTTCCACCAGTGGGAAAGTATTGTGACACACCACCTACAACGCCGTTGAGATGTCTCGCACAGGTGTTTCGGGCGTCCCCAATTGGTTCTCCGTCATACAGGAATCCATAGTCATTGGAAATCATTTGGACTCTTGGGCATGTACCGCCGCGGTTGTTATCACACTGACCGGTTTTGCATCGGTAGCCCATGACATCCCGAAAGTTGCCTCCAGGGTCTCGCCATCCATACTGAATTTTTCCAGATGAATCACATTCATTTTGGGTTCCACGGTCGTGGTAGCAACCCTGAAATAGAATATCATCAAACATGAAATCGTGAGCAATAGATAATACTTACAACCGGTCAAGCAGGGGATAACTTACCATATTGTGATTGACTTCATGCGCAAACGTATAGTAGCCAGTTGCACAGCGATATGATGTCACCGAGAACATCCACGAAGCTGAACGTGAAACAAAAACCATTAGCTCAACAATGAACCAGACCGCAAACACAGTCAAGATTTACAACTTACGACTTGGACCAACAAACGCCATGCCACAATAGTCAGAGCTTCCAACAATCAGTGCAACCATATCAGCGCCATACTGTGCTCGCAAATAATGGACTTCATCCATAATGCCGTCGTCCATAGTCCTCAATTGATACAAAGCTGCACGAAAGGGGTCAGTAGTTTCTTCGATGTAACTACTGACACGATATGTATATACCAGTCGCAGCTGAGCGTTGACACCAGAGTTTTGGTACATGGTGTTTGTCTCCTCGATGGCAAGTTCGATGATTCCACGAATGGTCGCTTCGGTTCTGGCGGAAAAAGTACATGGGTAAGCCAAACCAGAAGCCGCACACTCGGCCTCCAGAGTCCAAGGGACCATCATGTCGATAGTAGCCAGAGATTGAAGAGAGCGACGGTCATCATCGTCGTCGTCGGTGAAAGATAAGCTGAATGCTTCGCTCTCGGCCAGGTCAATCTCGACTGACTCTTGCTCTTCTGGAAAGTCTGCACCCGGAATGCAATCCATCTCAGTTTTCCCAGTTTCATCACCTGGGCGCAATTGACAAATTGTCCATTCTTTATTGTCGAGGATAACAAGAGATCCGACTTGGAAAGTCTCATCTCCAACAGCCTTTTCAATGAATGTCGCGGTACTCTTGCCATTTGGCGCGACTCCCTTCCAAAGATTTCCCTTGTCGGTTCGAATCTTGTTGAAGCCAACTTTCTTGCCGTTGGACATGGGAAAAGTGAGACGGTCCTTTCCCTTGTCAAAGTCGTCAAGCACGACACGGTAACCATTCTTCTTTCCAGGAAAGGCAAAAGGGCGATTGCTCTCGTCCTCAGGAGGGCCCTCGTCCGGATTAGACATAGTCTGAAAGGGGCGACCGGCAGCTGACACAGTAGCAGTTGGAATGCTGTCCGATGGCGCGGAGGTGCCAGCAGGAACAGAAGCCGCAGCAACTTTGAGAGTATCCTCATCCTTTCCGGCAGAAGTACCAGCGACAATGCCCACGGCAGTGCAAATGCCCCCAAATACTAATGTGTGAACGAAAGAATGACGACGAAATTGAAAATGCAAGTGAGTAAATATATGAGCGACTGAAGTAGTCCTATGCTTGCTGATTCAAGATTCCGTTGCAAACTTACCGAGAAGGGAAAGAATCTTGCGGAAGGAGCACACTGTCGGGACAGGAGGAGCAGTAGCCCCTCTACTTTCAACGGTTGCAGACATGGTGATGAAGGAAGAGGAGAAGATTGTTCGATGCAAAAAGATTCAACAACCAAAAGATTGTGGCAACGTCAAGTTGTTTCAAGCATTTTTTCAAAGGATTCGGTCAATGCTATGACCAGCGTTGACTGCAGTATCCATTGTACAGTATATCACGCAAACGCGGAACAGTCGCGTCAACTGTTGTCATGAAACTGTATGCGGTGTGGGGAAATATATTTTTCATTTTTATGTTCATTTGTTCGCATGCTGTCACTCCGTCGACCGAAGACAACGCAATTGCGACTAATGCAGTGCTTTATACTCTTGATTGTGTCATTATACCCTTGATTGTATCCTTTGTACACTGTACGAGTAGCTATCACTTCAGTGGTTCTTTCGGTATTAGTTACTGTTTCTTGTTTACTGACCTAGATGAAAGCGATGTTGAGGTTTCCTCCAGCATTTTTTCTTTCTGGAATTGGAGTGGATGAATCAAGCAACACCAAGAATCAATCAATCATCCCTCGAATTGACCACAACGGATGAGTTCTCCATTGTCTACATTGTTTGCTCATCCACTAGATCACTGTGACATAGGAGCTTAATATAATTTTGTGCAGAAAGTCTATATCTATGGAAGGGCGAACGTGATAGGTGAGTCATGAAATTACCCCAACCCACACAAGCGGTAGGCGGCCGCCAGTCGACTATCCTTGATAGTGTAGCTATGCAAATTGCTGGTTTCCATAATGCGACATCATTTCAGCTCCGTTTGCGGAGAAGAGAATGTCATTACTTTTAGGTTTTCTGTATTGCATGGCCATTGTTGTCCACACTTGGTTGGTAGAAGACATTGCTGGTGCTGTTGTTTGCTGCCCCCTTCTGCTGTTGCATGTTGCCAATAACGTTCATTTTTCACGCGACTGCATGCGGCATCATCTGTGAGGTGAAAAATTTTGGTATGGTCTATACATAATAATGTTACCAGTCTAGTAGCCTATTTCTAATTCTCTCTTTGCCACCAGATTATTATTCCCAGCCACACAATCCCGTCACCATTGTTCGACTCATGGCTTCCACGTACATGTAATCCTCTTTACCAAAGGCATTACACTCTTCGTGACTCTCCCGACATTCTTTAAATTGATGGTTGTATTGGCCTGCGGCGTCATCTCGGTCTTCCTCTTGCATTGCAACTTGTGTTCTTGGCTGCTGTGGAAGAGCCACAGTTTCAAAGCCAGGCGGGGGGAGGATCTTGTTCACACTGCCCAGATCTGCACAACGATGCTGTCCGAGGTAACAATGCGACTGTTCTGGGTTCGAGTATACCGCTTGAATCTGCTTCTGAGTTGGAAGTAGAGACTTCATGATGGCAGTGGGAATTATTTCCAAAAGTGCGGAATTCTTTCGTCGCTCTTGCAATAATTTCTCTGTCCCGTCAATTTCGGACTTAGCCACCCCACTGCAAAGTTGATTTTGTCCCGAGTCACCATATCTCATTGGTAGAACTGCAGCATGAGGAGTCAATGTTGCATTGGTCGGCTTTGAAAGGAGTTTGACTACTCCTCGTGTTCGAGTGAGGACAGCTCGCGGTACAGGGCATTTGATCTGGCTTGGAAGAATTACATGGTGACCGTTTTCGTTGCCACTCATGTTAAGCGTATTCGCCGGGTCTTTTGTGGGGCAATGATCCGCAATGGCCATGCCCTCAAGAATAATTTGAATCCTCCAAACAGAGTATTCCTTGTTACAGAGACAGTACTTTTGATTATCATCACAGCGTCGCAAAAATCGGATGGAAGGATGGTCTTTCCTCAACAGCCAGAGAACTTTGGAACACATTTCCAGTTGGTGTTTTGTGCTTTGGTAAGCCTTGACCTTTGGTTCCAGCATTCGGCGTAGGAGTTGATTGCCGGTATGTGATTTGTTTTCGAATCCGTCGTCCCAAAAGAGGATGTCAGAGGCCGTGACTTCGTTCACATAGATTGCAGAACTCATCTTCTTCCTTCCTCTCTCGCTCAGCTTCTTCGCCACCTTGTGGAAAGCAATCCGCATTCCAGTCTCTGTCACAGGGTAGTACTTCTCAGCTGTATTGTCATATTGAAGGAATCGCATGGGAAGATCGAGAGCCTGAAGTTTGAGGTAAAGTGCACTACGGAACCCGAATTTGTCTGCCGCTTTGCTATATTCCTCGACACACGATGCCAGGATGCGCTCATATCGTTGGTTGCCGCTACGACGACGGTGAGTTACTCCATTTGTCCTCATAAGGATATCATGGCTTGTGAGATAATCAACGTAGATTCTCTTCATTGCGATCAAGTCTTATCAGATCTGATTTTGTGGCTGGTGGGTTGAACCATGTTGAATCTACCCGTGTTGAAAACACGACGAGGAGGTATTCTCATGATGGTTTGTGGTTTTGCGGTTTGCATTTTTGGTGTGTGGTCGCGTGTTGGGTTTTCTGTTTGGACAGAAATAGTGCTTCTTTCAATCACATGTTCCAATTTTTAAAATTGATGGATGATCTTCATGACAGAGTATACTGTAGTTGACGAGACCAACTCTACAGTAAAACGACAAATCCCCAAAAATCTTATTATGTTACATAATTGACTATCCCATCCCTAGTCGTACTCTTCATCTGTTGGACAATCCTCTTGAAACCCCAGTTCCATTGCTCGATTTAATTGTTCCATGTATTGATACTCCTTCTCTTCGTCATATTCTTCCTCCTCTATGTATACTGTGTGCTCATGTGCAATATAATTGCTTTGATCTTGGTATTGGTCTAGGCCCAGGCCCTGGTGAATGTTGTTTTGGTTGTTGTTGTTGCTATTTCCCTCGTGACTATGGTCGTCGTCGTCGTCATCGTCTATTTCGATTGGTAAAATCGAGTTGCCATTGGGGCGACCCGCACCAATGCAAGTTTCTTCTCGAATTGTTGAAATCGGTGCTCCTCCACCTACCTTTGATGGCCTGAGGAGTGGTTGAGAGGTCACCATATTTCCACCACCAATGAACGGTTGGTCCGTCTGGTTTGGAGTTGCCTTGTGGTGGTTCAAGCTGTTGTTGGAATTCACGGCAGTGCTCTCTTTTGGACTATTTTGAGGGTCGGCCCTTCTAGCCAAGGTTTCCAAAAACGATTGAATCCACCTTATCGCAAACTCCTCGGGACAGAGGCAATACCTTCCACTCACACTTTCGGTTTGCAAGAATCGCATAGGAGGGTCCGATTGTTGCAACCGGTGGAAAATGCGGGAACACATTCTCGATTTGTGATTAGCAGCTGTGTCTTGGTATTCTTTCAGATATGTTGCTGCGAGGCGCGAAAAACGCTGATTGTCCAAGCGAGAAATCATTTTGCTCCTATTACTATCCGTAAATATCATATCATGGTCTGTTGGTTCAATATAGTTTTCCTTATCAGCAGCAGGCCCTTTTGGCTTCGTTTGAGCTGCAGTAACTGAAGGAGCATTCATATGACACTGTCGATGAGGCGATGGTTGTGCTGGCTGTGGAGTGGATACATCATCCGGTGATGACAAACTGTTGAGGTGCAATTTTGCCTTTTTCATACCTCTGTTGTTGTCATCAGTATCGGCGGAAGCCATCTGGTTGTGTTGACGTATTCGTAGTGGAAAAGCGCGGCATTGAGTTGCTTTCCCAGTCGAATCTTCCTTCTGTGTCTTCTTTGCACCATCTGCCCTTGACGTCTTGACAGCATGCAACCTGCTCTTGACAACAGTTGAGACCCAGTGGTCCACACTTGCCTTATTACACGGGTACCACCTTCCGGCACTAGAATCGTATTGCAGACATCGTTTGACAGGCCATTGTTCCAAGGCGCAAAGAATTCTGGACTTCAATGCAGATGCGTTTTCTACATGACCGTAGGACTGGATAATAAAATCCACAGTGTATGCAAATCGTTGATTTCCACAGTTCGACATCACTTCATCTCCGTTTGCGGAGAAGAGAATGTCATTACTTGTATGTTGGGCGTAAAGCCAGGTTATCATGGTCCACAGTTGGTTGGTAAAAAGCTCTGCTGCTGCTGCTGTTTGCTACTGCAGTTTGGTGCTCCCTTCTATTACCGTTGTTGTATACCGTATGTTGTTGCATTTTTCACGCGACTGCATGCTGCATCTCGTCGCACTGTGAGGTGGAAATTTGAAATTTTGGCTCGAACTTCATTCGTGATAGCCCCAGTCCCGTCAGATACAATAGGCAGAGTACAGACTAGTGCAAATACTAGCTACATAGTGCTAAAAAAAGATAAGTCAATCGATATCACAGATTTGGTAACACTAAAGGAGGTAAATGTGAACTCTCGTATGCTCTATATATCATGTTATCAGTCTAGTAGCCTATATTTCTAATTCGCGCTTTCCCACCAGATTTTAGTAGCATTCTCTGCCACACAATCCTCCAGTCACCGCATCATCGCTCGACTCACTCATTCCTTCCATGTCGTTCTTTGTCAAAGGCAGTACACTCTTGGGGACACTTCGCGAAATTCGTCAAACCGATGGTTGTATTGGCTTACGACGTCATCTCGGTCCTCCTCTTTCACTGCAACTTGTGGTTGTGGCTTTGAAATAGTCACATTCTTTTCAAAGCCACGTGGCACCTTGTTCACAGAGGCTAGATCTGCAAAAGGATGTTGCCCAGGAGTAATGACTTGAAGAAGGGGGGAAACTAATTGTTTTGGATTCGCGTATACCGCTTGAATTTGCTTCGCAGTTGGAAGTAAAGACTTCATAACGGTAGTGGGACTTGATTCAGAAAGCGCCACCGTTTGCTTTTGTCGCGCTTGCAACGATTTCTTCGTCTCGTCAATTTCCATCTTCACCAAACCACTGCGAAGATGCTTCTGTCCTGAGTCGTTGCATCTCATTGGCAGAACTGCATCAGGCGGAGTCAATGAATCATTGGTCGGTTTCGAAAGGAGTTTGACGATTTCTCGAGCTTGAGTGAGGGCAGCTCGTGGAAAAGGACATTTGGTCGGGTTTGGAAGATTCGCGTTGTGACAATCATTTTCGTTGCAAAGCATGGTACGCTTATTCTGCGCTGCACTCTGCAATCCCGTCTTTAGTACATTCTGAGCTTTTGAAGTTTCAGCAGCTGCCATACTATTATTTTTCCCTGTCTGTTCCTTCAGGTTCCTAGCCTCAATTTGTTCCTTCATCACTTTACGGCGCTTCCTCCGACAAGCACTTTTTGAAACCTTTATACCCTTTTCTCCGGAAGGCCCTGTGGATGTAGCTAGGGGTTGCATAGGGATCTCCTTGTCCATGGTGAAAACCTCTTTTGAAAGCTTATCATGTCTGTTGTTGTTGACAGGGGGGCAATCCGCAATGGCCATGCCCTCAAGAATAATTTGAATCCTCCAAACAGAGTATTCCTTGTTGCAAAGGCAGCACTTTTGTTTCTCACCACACCGTCGCAAGAAGCGGGTGGAAGAGTTTTCTTTCTTCAGTTGCCAGAAAACTTTGGAACACATTTCAAATTGGTGTTCTGTGCTTTGGTAAGCCTTGACCTTTGGTTCCAGCATTCGACGTAAGAGTAGATTGCCGGTATGTGATTTGTTTTCGAATCCGTCGTCCCAAAAGAGGATGTCAGAGGCCGTGACTTCGTTCACATAGATTGCAGAAATCGTCTTCGTCGTCCCTCTCTCGCTCAGCTTCTTCGCCACCTTGTGGAAAGTAATCCCCATTCCAGTCTCTGTCACAGCGAAGTACTTCTCAGCTGTATTGTCATATTGAAGGAATCGCATGGGAAGATCGAGAGCCTGAAGTTTGAGGTAAAGTGCACTACGGAACTCGAATTTGTCTGCCGCTTTGCTATATTCCTCGACACACGATGCCAGAATGCGCTCGTAACGTTGGTTGTAGCGGTGTGTTACTCCATTTGTCCTCATAAGGATGTCACGGCTTGTGGGATAATCAACGTAGATTCTCTTCATTGCGATCAAGTCTTATCAGATCTGATTTTGTGGCTGCTTTTCATGGTGGGTTGAACCATGTTGAAGCTACCCGTGTTGAAAACACGACGAGGTTATCATGATGGTTTGTGGTTTTATGGTTTGCAGTTTTGGTGTGTGGTCGCGTTTGGGGGACAGAAATAGTGCTTTTGTTGAATTTTCACGATTAATCGTTGTATCCCTCGAGATCATTTTTGTCATGCGGTACCGTATTGGCCATCACACCTACCTTCCGTCCCGTACATGTGATGCACTCAATATCAACCCTAAGAGTCTGATTTCAATAAAACTGATGTATCTCTTATTCCAAAATCTGTTTTCTACAGTACTCTATACTTTTTTTCTATGATCGTCACCAGCAGTCGATTGAGCCATCCATGCGATTCTTCTTGTAGCCGCATGGAGCGAGCGATGGAGTGAGAGATAATCGTGTTCTCCAAAATCTTTTACGTTGAGCTTGATTGACGACGAGTGGGACGATGGAGAGGCTCATCAAAGTTAGCTGTATCGAACTTTCCAGATAGAGCATTGTCGGTGGAGTTATCCATCAGGTAGGTTTGACTACTGAGCCGACGCAGTGGGCACAACAAAGGTTGATCTCGAACGGATTCTCTGTTTTCGTCTTTCTTTTGAGCGTGGGTCGTTCGGATTGTGTCATCGACGATGACAATTTGGCTTGCACCCGTGTTGAGTTTCAATTTTGCAAAGTAGTTGTCGAGCGCCATCATGATTGATAATATTCTTGTTTGTCTTTCAAAATTACTGTATTATAAAATTTTGATTGTGATGAAAAGGAACGAATGTTTCGCACTGAGACAAATCGATTTTATTCTTGCGAACTGTGATAAATTGTGAGGAAAGAGACATGTGACCCCATTCCACATTCCAGTGGTGGTTTTCCAATATTCGTCCTTGTATTTACTTTAGCACGCAGTCATTTCCAGATCATGGAAGTTCGCATATATATATATATATATGTGCAACACATTACCGTGCGACCAAGATCGATGTTCTGTTTCTTGCCACTATCAATGTTCTTCACAGCGGTCATCCATTTTCCAAAGACTTGTTGTCCTACGTGGTCTTTCACGATTGCTTGAAGGCTTTGAAAGTGATCCACATTCCTTCTTTGAGATTGGGAACACCGTCCCTTGCTATCTAGCAACAGGTGTTAGAGTCACTCTGTCTTGATACCGATGAGGACGAAGAAGCACATGGCTGGTTTTTTGGCTGGACTGCCGTCGAAGTGACTGCGTGTAGATTATGTTTTCATATGATCAACAGCTGGTGGTATTAGACAACTCGCCCTCGTATGAATGCTGTGTGGCGGTTGCTTTGTAGTCGATGTGTGTTTGAAGAGAACCTCCGACATACTTACTATCAAGCAGACCAAACGGACGACTCGTACGACTAAACGCTTTGCAGACTTATATAGTCTCAAATGATCAAAAACTGAAACAACGTAAAACGTAACGTGTTCAACGCCACACACTGTTTGTCAACGCTTCCTCTCTCGTTCATCTATCATGGTCCAATCGTTAAACACTAAAGCCCTCTTGACTCTAGCCTCGGTGATTCGAAGACCTTCACTCTTGGTTCCACATGTTTCGCTAGATAATGTGTCGCAACTAAACTATTCGGCACTGAAGGAGAGTTGCGGTGTTCGAGCAGTGGTCTTTGACAAGGACAATACTCTGACGGCTCCCTATGGAATGGAGATTCACCCAGATGCTTCTAGAGGCTTGGAAGATGCCAAGTCTGTCTTCGGTAGTGCCAATGTGGCCATCATGAGCAATTCTGCAGGTACTTTGGATGATCCTGAGTACGAAGATGCCATTCGCATTGAAGAGGCCTTGGGAATTGCAGTCATTCGTCACAATGAGAAGAAGCCTGGAGGTCTGGACGAAGTTTTGGGGCATTTTCAAATTGACGATCCAGCGCAATTGTGTATGGTGGGGGATCGATTGCTGACGGATATCGTCTTTGGAAATTTGTACGGCATGCTGACGGTTCACACGCTCCCGTTATGTTCGGGCGAGGAAAACAGTCAAGACAACAAAGTAGCATCAGTCCTTCGGACGGTAGAGAACAAGGGGTTATATGGTAGTTGGTTTGGTGGTAGATATCTTTTGAACAAGAAGTTGGAGCACAAATTCTGGCCAGGAGACTCTGAATGCCCGCTCAAAACATCTGATGGAACACAGCAATCATAAGGATGAATGTAGTAATCAAAATAAGCTAATGAAAAGTGAATGCAATAACCACCCTTGAAATAGATTATAAACCGATATATTTTCCTTGAAAAACCGACATATTTCCCTGAATAGGTGCATGCGGCATCAATTGATTTCACAGCAAGTAAGGAGCATCAATCCACAAGATTGACCCCGGCCAGTGGTGGTCTTGGCAATGGTACCGATGGCTTTGACGGCAAGGGTGGCGACATTGGAATAGAGAGTCTTGTCCTTATTGGTTTCATAGGAGGAAAGCTCTCATTCGCGGGCGCTGCCAGGGTCCTGGGTGGACTGGTAGATACAATTCGTTTACGGCTGGCCTTGGCCTTTTCATAATCGAGCAAGGCTTGGTTCATGGCATAGACCCATCGGTCCCGACCCTCCCTGGGACAGCTAAAGATGCGAGTTACCTGTTGAAAGGAGTCGTTCACTGGTTTCTTGACGTGACGAATTTCAAATCTATAAAAGTTCCACTTGACGGGATCAGGACCTTCTGTAGGCAAAATGACAGCCGAACTCAGAACAATGACGGTAGATGGGGTGGGAGCGGATTCGCTCCAGTAAATCTCCAGCATTGGCACGTCAACATCGTGGCCTGGAACTCTTGCTAGCTGAGGAGCGTGCATAAATAGGAATGAGATACGCAATGGTTAACCTCCGCATATCAGAACAGCTCGTCAGTGCCAACAAAGATCATAAAAATGCTTACCGAAAGGACAGCCCATCTTGTTTTCCATGCTCGACTGGCAAACAAATCTTGGCCAGTCCCCTTTTTGGAAACCCAACCCTGTACCAAAACATTTTGAACGGTATACGAAACTCCTTTATTTAGCAGACCCGGCATCATGTGGTCTTCGTCGTCCAAATCTTCACTACCCTCGTCACTGTCGCCGTCAAACAAAGATTCACGGTGAAACCGTCTTTGGATGATGTCTCCCAGAGTCTCGCGTTGGTCAACCTTTGTGGGCAAGGTATTGCCGCTTTCGATCGCGGAATCCATGCTTCCCGTGGATACTGGTGATCCAACATGGTTGTGTCTCATTGTCGTTCAATATGCTGGTGGATGGGTTTGGGTGCGTGGATTGTATTTTGTGCAGGAAGACTAAAATTGGAAAGCTCCGTTCGGTGAAAACAACTCCAAAAAATCACACATATTCAATATCGGCTTCTCGTGTTCTCGTGTGATTCCTCTAACAAACAGATGAGTATTTAGAAACGAATCATGCGAGATTGTGACAACCGTTGAGTTTTGTCCAGAAGAGGCGCGCCAACTTTTGAAAAGTTGACGTCACTCATTTTTGATGCAGCAATTGGCACCAACAATCGATCATCAATCGAATCGCAATCATCCATAATTAAATAACCATGACAGGAAATAGTGAAGCATATGCAAAGCAGCTCGCAAAGGATATCACTGAAAAGTATCCAGCAACGGTATTTGGCATGGCCAAAGGATTGAAGTATCCTGCCTCTTCCAAGGTGACAGCCTTGCGAGTCAAGTCCATCACACACGACGAATGCAAGATCTCTCTGGTCACTTGCTCGGGCGAGATTTGCGAAATGAACGACGAAGTTTACAAATTCAATCCGCCACTGCAATCAATCACGGAAATGAGTACTCGCATGCCACAAATCCGTGATGCCGTCCTCACCCCCAATCCACTGTGGTTGTTGACAGATCCTTTGGCATTGGTCATTCTCCTCACCTGTGCCTCGTTGGGTTACGGGACACTGCTTTTGGGAACCGATGGTATCATTGATGGGCTCGCCAATGTGCCCCGCTTAGAGGGAGGTATATCAGCAATCTTTGGATCGACTGGCACCTTTGCCAATTTGGTTGTTGGTTCGTTTTGGTTTTCGATTGTTGCCCATGGAATCGAGGCCAGCATTGCACTGCGCCACTCATTGAAGAGTCTTCAGTTAGGCTCAGTACCTACTGTTATGTGGTCATCAATGGTATTTCTAGTTGGATATCCAATGTTCTCTAGATTTCAAAAGATTGTCACTGTACAAGAAGAGTATGGCACAAAGTCAAAGTGAAGTCTAAGGAGCACGGCTTGTTGTTCCGCTACAGTACCTATACCGGTAGGTGCTACCTTTCAATCTGGGATTTTGCCGTTCTACAATCATTATCTAGGTTGGCCAACGCTGTGGTCGTAGGAAGGAGTCCCAAACAGTCCAAAAATCCCTCGAGTTCGACCGGTTTCGCTTTCTTCTACGCTCGGTTTTTCTTCTGCACTAGGTGTTTCTTCCAGCAATATTAGAGTATCATCAGTTGCTTCAACCTCAATAGGCAGTTGTATCTCTTTGTCTCGTTTGTAATCACGAGTTCGTAGAGATAATAATAGATTTGTTGCGTGTGAAAACACTTTTCGCATCCGTTGGTCCAGCTTGAAAGTTGTGGCAAGTTGCAGTGCTACGAGAAAGACCAACGCAGATTGTCTTAACCCACCCACAACCTTCCCCCGAGCAATAGAATTCGTCCGATATTGTTGATATTGCATTTGCGATTGCTCCAAAAACCGCTCGGTGTGTTCCGACAAAAGCAAGTCTCGAATCAGTCGCAAATCCGAATGATGGGGATCCTGCGATACTGCTTCGCCCCATGGGTAAATTCCATCTCTAGCAATGATTGCTAGTGCTTCACTCTTCTTTCTACCTCGATAATTTCGATTTTGCAAGGTGGTCTTTTTCAAAACCGCTCGAATGAGCCTTGCGTCCGACCGATCGGTATCCAGGAACGATTTTGTTCCTGTAGCATTGCTCTTTTCCTTTCCTTTTCCTCTGCCAAAGAAGTTAGGTGCGAACGTTTTTGGTTCCCAGCCATCCATTTCTATGGAATCGAAATCATAAACTTGGATTTGTTCTTTTTCCAAGGTCTTTTTCAACAGAGCCCGGTATTCGGATATCTCGTCGTCCGTCAAAGTGTCAGCCTTGGCAATGATGGGGACAATGGGTACTTCGTGTTGCACAATCTTGAGAAAATGACGATCAATTTCCAAGAACCTTCCAGGGCTAAGAAAGTATAGGCAAACATGGACCAACCGTTCCTCCTGCTTGTCTCGAAACGACAATGATGGTTGACTCGACATTTCTTGTTGCATTTGTTTCTTTCGGCAGCTTTGAATATACTTTCTGATTACTTGAACCGAATTGTGGTGGTTCACCTTGTTTCCAAAGCCAGGTGTATCGATAATGCGCACCCGCAGTAACGTGTTGGCCGTATCGTCATACCATTCCAAGGGAGATGATTCTCGGACAGACATTGTTTGTGCGTTGATGCCACCTCCCTCTCCGTTCTTCTTTTTATTTTTCATTGATTCTGTCGATGATTCGTCGGCTGATTCCATCCATGAGTCTAAAAGAGCCTTGCAAAAAGTCGTCTTGCCCAAGCCACTGAGTCCAGCTACCATGATGTTGAAGTTTACAACTCGCGGTTTCAGGTTTACGGAATCTGGAGGTGACATCATTTTCCATTGCTGGCTGGATGATGATTCCTTGATGGATGCAATTGTAGGCAATTTTATGTTCGATTTGGCTATAGCTGCAAGTGGGAGAAGTACCAGAAGACCTATCGCGTTGGCAAGGAGTATCATGGTGCTGGATACAGTACGGTAGACAAGTTTTCTCAAGTTGTAAATAAAAAGATTTGCTTCGCATGGATGACCAGTTCGATTCATTCGACCCTTTCGATCGACTATCCAACTCGATGGATGGATCAAGAAAGCAAGATAAAGAATTGAATTGGAAAAATCTGTTTACATTTGTTGATATTTCAAAGATTGAACAAAAAGAATGGTGTACAGTATTGCACTGTGACCCATGTGGTGTTCGTGTTGAATTTGCAACTGTCGAGGGAGGAAAGTCTAAGTAGCCAAATATTTTAGTAACGGATTTAGATTGTAATCGGTGGAAAAAGGCATGCCGGCGACACTTTTTTTTGAAACTCAAAAGTTGGAATGTTCGGAATTAACGATGAACACACAACTTTGAATCAAATGCAAATCCGGGCACACAAATCATAAAACAGTGACGGCATCACAGAAAGTTTTGGTCATGTGGTTAATCACATTCGTCTCTACATCGCTTTTGTGTTTGTTGTCCTTGGCCAACCCCACTGTTGCCAATATGGCCTCCTCAAATTCGATAGTAGAAGACAGAGAAAGTCAATTGGTTGGTCTTCGAACCAACGACAAGATTCCATCAAGCAAGAGGTCATCCAGTCCGATCAAAGGCAGCTCGAGGCATACATCTGAGTTTCGAAGCTTGCAATTGTTCATGGATCGCAAACAGGCGCCCGCTTTTCCAAAGGATGCCCTCAAATTTGACAGGGGTGACTACCAAGATGCTTTTATCTTCTCGGAGATACCTTCTCCTGGTCCAACAATGACATCAGAACCCACAAAGCAACCCTCTAAAACACCATCAGCTGTGCCCTCAATATCGCCGACACATAACCCAACTCCATCGCCTTCCGAAGAACCCACCTTCGAACCAACTAGACAACCATCAGCCGAGCCCAGTTTATATCCCACAACAACCTATCGTCCAACTGTCAATGATACCTTCATTCCAGGTCAACTTGTCGTTGGGGCTTACTACTATCCTTGGCATGCCGATGACTTTCATAGAGGAGACGGCTACCTGAGAGAACACTTGACTCCTTCTCAGCTTCCAGACCTTGGCGAGTACGACGATAGGGAAGACCATGTCCTCCATATGCATTTGCGATGGAGTCGACAGGCAAACATCAATCTTTGGATAACCAGTTGGTGGAGACCCGATGGCCGTACCGACAACACCCTCAGAACTCACGTCCTGCAGCACGACAAGTTGCAAAACCATCAGATTGCTATATTTTATGAGACTCAGGCAAGGATCAGAAAAAGCGAGAACTATACCTTACAAAGGGTAGCAACTGACATGCAGCACCTCTGTGAACACTACCTTGATCACCCCAACTACTACACATTAGAGGATTCTGTGAGTGGCGCCCGTCCTGTCCTTTTTGTTTACTTGACCCGTTCCTTGGCAAAACAAGGGGTCTTTGAAGAGGCCATTGACCTCATGCGACAAAGCATCCGTGATGCCTGTGGCAAAGAAGTATACTTGATTGGAGATCAAGTCTTTGGTAAGGCTTCCAACAAGGAGTTTGACACCAATCCCCTTCACTATGTTCCCCTTCAAAAGTTGGATGCCGTGACGAATTATGATGTGTACGGGAGTATGGGTCAAGTCAATGGAGGAAGGGGTGGTATTTTGAGCAAAACTCAAGTCCGAAACTATTATGAAGTCGAGCAAGCGATGTGGAAAGAACAAGCAGAAAAGCATAACTGCCAATACGTTCCATCCGTGAGCGCAGGGTACAATGATTTGGGAGTTCGGCCGGAAAACAAGAACCGCCCACTTTCTCGCACGCTTGTTGGCATGGGGCAGGGGTCGCTCTTGGAGGAATCATTGAAGCGTGCGATACCGCTAGCAGATGTCAGTAATTTGGCGAGTCGTACCGTTGAAACCCACCGTCTCTTGGTGGTGAATTCATTCAACGAATGGCATGAGGATACTCAAATCGAACCCACCAAAGGCGTTGCAACATCTTTACCCATTAACTATACATACGGACTTCTATATGAAGGGTACGGAGACAGATACCTTGAGATTCTTCGAAAAGGTACTGAAGCAGAGATTGATGGTCTCTTGGACTGATTTCGTCGTGCAAGTACGCAGGGCGATGACAGTCCATGGCTGCATGGCACATTGCAGCACAAAGTGCTTTGATGCTTTTGAACATGTCGACCGCATCAAAATTAGGGTTTATCGACCATTAGATCATTAGAAACAAATTAGAATATATCATTCATGATATCATGTCTACCGGTACCTACTGTACGGTATCACTCTGTTGTAAGATACCGGCGGTAGATAGTAGATATTCGATGGCTAATTTTCGATTCCGTCGACTACAGCTGATGACGTTTCATTTTCGTTTGATGACAAAATAGAAAATACCACGACAATACCAGCACAAAGAGTATCATAACGACAGCATAGGGGTAAAGATGAAGCTTTCCAGCGCAGTCTACGGCGCAACAATAATTGGAGCCTTGCGACCGGTTTCTGGATTTCAACCCGTCCAGCAACCATTCTCTACACAAGCTCAGAGCCAGATCACTCGACAACATCCATCCACAAAATTATTCAACCAACTCAATCAATTTGACGTGTCCAAGCCTGTCTTTGACCTATTTTCGTTGCGGACCATCCGAGGAGATGCTATAATTCGATACGATGCTACTAATCAGAGTGAACCCATCCGGATTCAATTGTATGCTGCTTCGTGCTTGCTGTTCTTAGCATCACCTACGTTGGCGGAAGCTTTGGATTTCGATCCATTAACACTTCCAGGCCGGATTGCTACCGTAGCGGTATCTGTCCTCTCTGGTGGTCTTTTTGTAAGGGAGTGTAAAAAACGATCCAATCAACTGAATCGCATTGAAAAGGAGCTTAACACCGAAGGCTTGCCAATCCGATTGCCGACCAATGCACTTTCGGATCAACGATACACTAAACCAATAGTCTTGAAGCAGTTGAGGGCGAGCAAATCCATACCTCCCAGGGTCCTTGCCTTGTATGGAGAAGATGAAAAGCTAAAGGATGCACTCAAGGGCCTTTGGACCCTAGGAAAACGTTTGGAACAAGCTTCGGTGTATGTCGTTTGTATTCCAACTGTTGGTTCATCCTTTCGGGCCTATGAATGGGTCCTTGAACAACAAAGTTCAATGGATAAAACTATTCCTTGGCTAGCTGACGCATATGATGAGAAAGCCTGGCGCTCATACTTTAAAGAATTGACTCCAGAAGACACAATAAACCCATCATTTCTATGGTTTGGCTTGAATTCAAATGGCAGGTCGATAGGATCTGGTGCAAACGAAGTCCCTACGTGGCTTCAACTGTTGGGACAGCACTTCCGACCGACAATGGATGATTTTGAACTAATGGATGCCCCCATCGCCGTAGCCAGTAGCGAAGGGGGCGAGGCAGCTCTATCTCAATCGGTCCAGGACTTTTACGCTGCCTTGACAACCGGCAACAAAGAGGCAATGGATGGCACTCTCTCCAAAACAGAATCTAGTCAAGTTTCAGAAGTAAGAGCTTTAGGAGGATTGCCGCACCAATGATAGAAAGCTTTCCTTACACTCTAATTTGCCATCTCGCTCTTAGGTTCTGAATGCTGGTGGAAGAGTTGACTCATGGACGGATTGCCTTGCCGACGGAGCACGACCAGAAGGAATGGAAGTCTCCAATGCTGAAGTAATTATCGTCTCCGATACGGAAGCCTACACGACGGTAATTGAATCACCCGCCAATACGGGGCTAGATTCAGCAACACTACTCGCCGTCCAAGAATGGACTCGTTCAAGCTCAGAGAAAAAATGGGAACTAGCTCTACATCAGACTATTCCTTGGGATGCAGCAAACAAAGCGCAGGGTACCCTGCGATGCGACTGTCGTGGTTGTGTGGCTTTGACTAGAACACCTGAAAGGCAGACGTTTGGTGGATTGATTGGTTAATACTAAAGTGTTCTGTAGTTGAAAGGGGTGCATTCGTGCCGCTTGATCTCTCGTTTTTGTCTACTGTACGAATCAAGTGTTACGATAAGCCAGCTCATTCTTGACTTGAGGCAACAGAGCTTCTTCGGATTTTAGCATCTTCGCCACATTTTGCTGGGTGTTATGGTATCGCAGCGATCACCACCATGCACGCGATTCACGTGTCCCCTCTTTTGACACGAATTGTTCGGAATAAGGCGCTTACTTTCTGTATCGCTCCGTCATTGTCGACACAAACCCACAAGTCACCATCAGGTCGCAGAAACAGCCCTGCGTTTTGATGTATGGTCTCCACAATTTCCTGGGCAATTTGCCTCTTTTGTCCTCGTTTCTTAGCTTTCTGATATATCTTGTACCTTGCTGTCACTAGACTTCGGAGCTGTATATTGCCTGGATGAGTTTGAAAGGGGGTTCCTTTGCCAAAAAGGACGTCAACTTTGAACGGAACATGCACCTTTTGTCTTCTCGGCTGTTGGCACCGTTCTTCCGCACGCATTTCCATCAGACGTTCGCGGAATGCTTGCAAGTTTGAAATTTCCCCACCTTTCGTGACTGGGATGGTTCCTGGTAAAATACCAAATCCTGCCAGACTGGACATTACTTCATCGTGCGTTCCTGGGACAAGTATGCCGGTTAAGAAACGAAAAGGAAGCTACAACCAATATTTCCAGCTCGCCTTACCGTAATGCGTCTTTGACCTCATCTTCACAAAAGGACTTAAAGCAGTCTTGATAACTGCAAATAGAACACGGTAAATCACGCTATCGTGACAGAAATGGATTGCTTCAACTCGAACTGGCAGGGCTTGGATCATCGTGGCCAAATTCCACGGATACTGGAGGCTTGTTTCAGCAGATTGATCCCCAAGCCCGTAAACGATACCGATAAAGCCATTCTCCTGCGCTCCGTGTTTACGAATATTCTGCATATTATTGTAAAACGATCGCTGAAGCTGAAGAGGAGTGCAATGTAAGAGTACAACAATGTAACAAATAAATGCAGTGAATCACAAACCACACGGAAATGTTGCCTTACAACTGCTCTCGCCGAAACCCGAGTACCGACTACAGCCAAATTTATCCACCTTCCTGTACGGTCTTGGGCATCTAATGCTTGCTTTCTTCCACAATATAGATCTTGCATGGCTTCGCCGTCAAGGTCATCTTGAACAATGTCCAATACTAGCTTATCTTCACCAAATAAGTCGAGCTTGAGTTGAAAAAACCGGATAATTCGAAGGGCTGCTTTTCTAGCATCAAAGGAATCTGCTCGGAGAAATGCTAACCGGAAGGAGCGATTTTCCACATATGTGGAGTTCATGGACAAAGCAAGATCGTAAGCACGCTTATCTTTCAATTTATCAATTTCCCTGTGCATTAAATCTAGGCCTTTTTCGATGGCTTCCTCGGTCTCTGTAGGACCTTGTCTCACTCCATGAACATCCATGTACACCTTCTCCCTGTCTTTCATGGACAATTCCATCATTTGCGTGGCAATCATAGAATCGACATCATCGATATTCGTTGCAATATTTGGTTCGTTCTCGCTGACAATCTTTGCAGTGTCTTCAAGAACATCCAGAGGCGTTATATCATGGGAATCTTTGTGTATTGACTCCATCGGCCGATTCCAAGCTGACTACAATGTCGCGATAATGATACAGGAAATTTTCAGGCACAACCGCGATCCATAAATCATGTGGTCCGGGTCATACTGATTAGATGACTCATTCGACTTCATTGTGCCTTCAGTGTTCTCAACACTGGAGAGACGACTGAAAGATATACGAACCTCCCCGCATGCGCTGATACTTCAAAACTACTAAATGAAGAGTTGCTTCCTTCTACCTTCCTTACTCTTGCTTCTCTTGGGACTCAATAATAGCCATGGACTCCTGTGTGGTAGATTTTCAGCCAGGAGCCTGATTTCGCTGCAACCTAAGCTGGGCAGCAGCAGAAGGATCGAACTTTTTCTGAAAGCGGAAAACGAGGATGAGGAAACAAGTGAAAGTGACACAAAACAAGAAACAAAACGTTCCGAACCGATTACTCTTTTCGAGTTGGCCGAAATGGAAGCAAGAGCTTCAAAAAGGATCAATGATAGACTATTGCTGCCTTACAGATTAGGAGAGGCTCTGACGAATGTGGCTTGGTTCGTTGTGATACTGAGTGTCTTTTTGAATGCCTTTGGTTATGCATACATACGTGGCGATTATGGTATAATTACGATTGGAACGATAGAAGAAAGAAACTTTCAAATTGAAATGAGAAAGTCCTCGAAAGAAGCCATGGAGAGTTCGGTAGATGCTGCTACGAGGAATCAGAATTTGGTTGATGCTGCTTCCTTTGTGGATCAACAGTAGGATTACGCGATGGCAGGATGTTATCGCCGCAGGTGAATCTCTACGATTTGTTTTCAATTTTGGCACTTTGCTTTTTTTCAATGTTGATTTGCATGACGCGGCAATTTTCAACAACTAGGGTGCCCACTTGTCTCCTCGGCCTTCGAAATCGTTCACAGTAAGCAAGCTGCTGGCAGTATAGATGCTGTCGTTGATACAAGGTTCTCCGGGTTTTCTGATTCTTCAACACTATTTAATATTTACATGCTTCTATAATAGATAAACTTAGATTATTTTAAATCCAGTATGCCAACATTGTGCCCCCCACCCAAAGCTTTGCCATCTGACAACTGCCTTATTCACGACACCTCTGTACCCATACCACGCATGGAATACAACTCAGACCCAAGAGCATGCTACAGGTATGTACATTGAGCATCGGCCATAATAGAAGCCTGGATCATCATGCTTGCTTTTAATTGGCGTGGTGATCATCTATCGCGCATTGCGTTCTTGAAGGCATGCATCACAAACCAGCGACAGAGGTCGATTTTGTAGGGTGCAATGGGCGCAGACCCAGCCATCGCTCGTAGTACATGTAGTCACAATTGTTGCATTTGGAACCGTGACTTTCATCGACGAATCCTCCACGTCGTTGGTCAGATCGATACAATTGTCGACGGCAATTGGCTTGATTGGCTTGATATTTTTGGTCTCTGCCGCCTTTGGTTTTGTATCTGGGGAAGTGAGGTCGATGCACTCGACCTTGGGCCTCTTTGTTGTACTCTCTTGTTGCTGCTCTTGATCTCGGCGCCGATTAGAACGGACCGGCATCTTTGCACCTTGATTCGGCTCATCTGCCCCTTCCTCATCGTCATCACTGTCGTAGATTTCAATGACGCAAGGTTGCTTGGCTTTTTCCATCATTCTTCTTGTGAGATCCATCTGGCGTTTTCGAGATTCCGCCGCTCGGACAATGGCTTCTTGCATGGCTTTTCGATTGGAAACCTTGCTGCCTCCCAATCGATGACCACCACCGTTGCTAGATTTTCCATCCACCAAGCGACTTTTGCCCAACTTCTTGCCACCCAAGGTTTGTCCCTTGGTGGTTTGGAATGCATCACTTGGGGTGGCAGCTCCACCTCCTGTGGGTTGTCTATAGTCGGGATTGAAACCCATTCGATTGACCAGCAATGTTGCATGCTCTGGAGCGAACAAGCAAAGTGTCGGAGTGAGATTTTAAACTGCTATTGATAAATAACACTTGAAATGCCAAAATCCCTCGTTCCAAAGCTCCTTACCTTCCAATATTTCTTCCATGAGTTTGTAAAAAGCCGCATTGTGAGGACCATGGACACAATGGCTTAGTTCGTGCGCCATGGTACCTGCCACATCCTCCCAAGGAAACAATCGAGTGTGATTGTTTGGATTCCGCAGTCGCAAATGAATGGTATGTGTCTTGGACCTCCCATGCCATCGTGTCATGTTGTACCCCAAGACATTATTGGACATTTTCCGTAGCTTGCGTCCACGCTTGGGTCTGTAATCCAAACCATCCCCACAGCAACATAGTTCGGAAATGCTCTTGACGTTGAATTTGCGGCGTTGGATAATGGGCAAGAACTCTTGGTGAATGCGTTTTAATGTATCTTCGCAGACTTTGTCTGAAAGAAGATTGGGAATGTGGAATAATGGAACCCCGTCTTTTGAATTGATGGGTTGGCAATACTGCGCAGCCAAAGGATCATTGACTGGTTCTTCTTGCTCGTAGGCATTGGTGACCGAAGATGACTTATTGGCGGAAGGGTGTTGTGGCCCTTTTGATTCTTCTGGAGGCGTGAAACTTTGACTACTACCATTCAAGTCGTTCAGCGTCCATATTCGATTCTTGGGAGCCATGGTGGCAATGCCGTTTGTCGGGATAACAAGCCCTGAAGTGATGCAAATGAGCCAAACGTGGTTGCGTGGAAATTTGAAACTGGAAGTTAATTTAAAAACTAATCTAGTTCTACACATCTTATTCATGATGCAGTCTTTTTTCAACAAGGTTGTTGGATAGGAGGATAAATATCATTATATATCAATCTAGCTATAAGGTAAAAAATCTCCATTCATATCCAAAAAGACACTGGATCCGGCAACCTTGAATTTGCTGACAATCATTTCCGCGACGTCCTCCATATGGTCTCCTTGAATGATAATTTCTTTGCCCTTGGGTCCATCCTTAACACTGGAGGATCCCGCGAATCGCTTGGAAAATGTCTTGGATACATCCTTCAGCTTAATTCCAGGAACCGTGTCCATACCTACTATAATGGTAGTCGCTTTTTTCTTGTTGCGTACCGTCTTTTGAATAACAACTCTTGTTTCCACTTGCTTGGCGACTTTGGCCTTGGCGCCTCGTTTATTCTTGCCACTAATGTTAAGATTCTCCATGTCTTCATCCAGATCTCCTTCTTCATCACTTTCAGCATAGTAAGGATCTTCGGGCTCGGGTCCGTATTTCTTGGTGAGGGCGATGAACAATTTATCTTCCTTCCCGGCATATTTCGTGAGCAGATTTGGAATGTCCGCTAGCTTGTCGGGTTGGTACATTTCGTAAAAGGCAGTCAATCGCTCTTCCGCAGTCCAAGGTTCAGCGGGTTTGGAAGGACCTTCCGCTTCGCCTTCTTTCTCCACACTGTCATCCACGCCTTTGATGTCCTTCAGGATTTGCTTCAAGACGTCTGGGTGGTTCTTTTTCATCCAAGGGACGCAATGGGTCTCAAAATCAGGACCATATTCACAGAACTCTAAAGGCATGGAACACTTTCCGCAATATACCACATTGACGGGCTTGAGAATGTCATCGAATTCTGCCATGATAATGATGATTATAATATTGTGACGATTGGTCGGTGTGATGAGGCGTGGTGGGGATTGGGATTGTTGCTTCGATACGATTCACGACAGTTGTGGTCCATCGAATCAATCGCGCATCTGAAAACCGCGCACGTTGAATCTTTCTCGCATCATTGGGAGTTTGGTCATCATGGCATGCATGCATCATTCCAATTTTTAAATTGCCACTTGTCATTCATCATCATCACAATCATATATCCAAAAGAATGATTTCTCTTCGCTCCCTTATCTTTTTGCTCCTCCTCGCCTTTGCCGCTGCCGGAACCAACAAGGAAGGTCTTGCGTTCCTCGCCAAGAAGGAGACGGAAGAAGGCGTCGTCAAGTTGCCCTCGGGACTCATGTACAAGGAACTTGTCAAGGGAACCGGAAAGACTCCTACTGCCAACAGTCCATGCTCCTGTCACTACGCCGGAACCTTGATTGACGGAACCGAATTCGATTCATCTTACAAGCGTGGACAACCTACTACTTTTGCGCCAAACCAGGTCATTAAAGGATGTAAGTGTCCACTGTTTAATTTTGGCGGGAATGAAATCTGGGATGCGGTGTACAGTACTGTTTCAGGAAGATTTTTGTATTGGTTCTTGTCTTGCTTATACTCTTATTTTTATTATATTACTATTACTATTACTATTCTGTAGGGACCGAGGCTATGCAATTGATGAAGGAAGGTGGCAAGTGGGAACTTTACATTCCATCTGAATTGGCGTACGGAGACCGTGGAGCTGGAGGTCGCATTCCAGGAGGATCGGTTCTTATCTTCATTTTGGAAATGCTCGAGGTCAAGGGTGACTCTGTCTAAAGTTTATTGACTGGCTTATTTGGGAGGACCGTTCGATTTAGCTTGTAGGCAGGGTTGATTGAATCAAAAATATTTTAAAGATGGGCCTTCTCATGCATGCTAAATTATGTTCTTCTCCACTCATGATATCAGTATTACTAAAATATACTTGAATATACAGTAGCATGATGTGTGGATATTCTTCGTGGTGGGCCGGTCATCATGGATGCTTAGTATGAATGGTGATATCTCATGATCACAAGATCAAGTGGATTCTTTCATTCGAGGACATAATCTATAATGGAAATCTTCAAAAGCTAGCTAGCTTTATGAACTACGATTGATCAATATGGGCGGATGTTGAAGTGGTATGGTACGAGTACCGGTACTTGTACCTTTTAAAATCTAAGAGGAGTCTCTTTTGGTTGATGCACAGACCAAACCACTGACAAGACCAAATTGAAAATGTCAATCCGTTTTGAGAGGTCGGGGTACCACGGTCCCATTTTGAAAAGAGCTCGAGCTGCAGGCTGTCAGAAGAAGGAACAAAAAGAACAGGCCAGTTTGTCAATAACGGCCGAAACATAAAGTCAACCAATCAGAAAGATTCTTTCTTTGTCATCGAAGTAAATCCTCGGTTCGTAAAAGTTCGGTACGATTCGCCGACACCTTGCAGACGGTAACAGTCCAAGATGTCGACAGGTTGAATATTCTTGCGCCATCTGACAAAATTCTGTGACTGGTGGAGAAAGAATGAGCAAGCAAGCATTTTCGTTAATTGTAGAAAGAATTCGAACGCCAGCCGAGCCAAAGTTCAGAAAGTTGAGACGAGGTCTAAATGACTTGGCGCTCGACTTTGTCGGAAATTTACGGAAATTACGAGGTCCTGTCGATGAATGAACCCCACGGGACTTCCATTTCTACGTACTATCTGGTACTTTGGACACGTAAAGCGGCAGCGACGAAAACATTTTTGATTTGCCACCGCCTTCACTTTTTGTATTTCATAATTTTCAAGAATCATTCCGTTTGCAAGATGAGTGGTATTGCCAAGAACGCTGCCTCCTCCTTCCGACGACAAGCCCCACGAGGGGCAAAGAGCTGGGGACGATCTCTACCATCCATCAGTGTAAGTATCAATACCTGGACAGAAGATGATTCTGATCAGATTCATTCTCCATGGCGACCCATAGGACCGACAAAATACACATCGTTCGGCTCAAGCTGATGCCGAAGAAAGTACAATCTACTCCAGCATCCTTCGGGACATCACCAACCAGTCTTTAGGGCAACCACCATGGTCATTTTCGTCGCCAATACTGCCGTAATTACATGGTCTTGGCCACTTTAGCATTGGACTGGGTGTGGAGGTCCGCATTGTTCGCAGTTTCTTGTGAGGCAGTAAAGAAGCCAGAGAAGCTAAGAACGTGACGTTTGGGCGATGGGTATTCCTATGGATCAACAATCTGGTCATGAAGTGGTCATGATGACGGAAGTGACGACGGGCTTATCAGCATTGTGCTTTGCGTCTCGAATAAAATCTCACTTTATGTTTCCGCGTTTTTCAAAATACAGGCCAAGAATAATTTCGCAGATGCCAATCCAGAGATCGATCCAGCTCACTTTCAACCACTGGGAACCTGGGGTTCGGACAAATTGAATGCTTCTCGCCAGGAGAACCCATTCATGATGACCTGGGTGCCAGGAGCTGCCAGACATTCTGTTCCGAACATGACTCATGGAGAAGGAGTTTACCTGTTTGATGACAAAGGAAACAAATATTTGGATTGGACTTCTCAGGCCGTCTGCGCCAATTTGGGCCACGACGTACCCAAGGCAGTTGTCGATGCAGCTGCTCAACAAATGGCCACTCTTCCTTTTGTATATGGAGGAATTGGTATGACTGAAGTCCGAACTCGCCTTAATCAGCTCATGTCTGAGATTCTACCAGGTGACTTGCGAGCAGCCGTGTACCCATCCTCAGGTGCCGAAGCCAACGAGGCTGGAATTATGATGGCTCGCCGATTCACTGGACGACAAAAGATCATCACTTGGTACCGGTCTTACCACGGAGCCACTGCTAATGCTGGAGCCGCCACTGGTGATTTCCGCCGTTGGTATGGAAGTGATGAAGTCCCTGGATTTGTCAAGGCCTTTAATCCTTTCCCGCTCTTTTTCAACCACGGAGGACCCAACGCCACCGAAGAAGAATCAGTCCAAGCCGCTTTGAACATGTTGGAGGAACAAATTCTTAATGAAGGTCCCGACAATATTGCCTCTATTATCATGGAATCCGTTGTTGGAGCAGGAGGATGCCTCGTCATGCCACCAGGCTACATGCAAGGAATCCGCGCTCTTTGCGATCAATACGGTATTCTGATGCACGTCGATGAAGTTATGGTAGGATTTGGCCGCACTGGAAAGCTTTTTGGATTCCAAAACTACGAAGGTGTCATGCCCGATATTGTCTCTTCTGCCAAGGGAATTTCTTCCGCTGCAATTCCCATGTCCATGACTGCTTGCAACGCTGAAATTATGGACTTTTTTGAAGACAAACCACTTGGCTGGGGATCCACTTATCAAGCGCATCCCGTCGCTATGGCCGTTGCCTATGAGAATATCAAGTATTTGATCGAAAACAACATTGTTGGACGATCCGCAAACATGGCTCCCTTGTTTGAAGCCTGTATGCAAAAGCTCGCCAATGATCACCCAAGCATCAAGCAATACCGTGCAATTGGCATGTTTGGTTGCTTTGATATCCAAGATACTAATGGTGCCAACCCCAAATTGCAACACGAAGCCGCTCACCAAGCGTTCCACAAGTACAAGCAAGCCTACATTGAGAACGGATTGGTCGGATTGCACCGGTACCCACACATTCACTGCGCACCTCCACTCAGCATTACCGAAGAAGAGCTCATTGACGGATTCCAACGCCTCGATCGAGCATTGGATGTCTTGGACGATGCCCTTGGCTTTGAGAAGGAAGTCCAACTGGAAACTGCTGTATGACGTGCTTGCCTACTAGCCAACGTGTTTGCCAGTGATGAAAATTGAGAAACGTACACACTTTCTCCTTTTGGAAACGCTTCATCGGCGGTATTGAAAATACAATGATAATAATAAATTTGTAAAGTATAATAACACTTTGTTCATACGAGAGGATACTGCACGATTTTTTAAATAACAGTCAAAGTGATCCAGATTTTGTTCCCCAATTCACGACTGATTTTGGAGTATTACACGTGTACCAGGCAGCCAGTTACCACACCCATCAAGCGATAAACAGGAAACACATGCAAACACCTCAGGCCGTGATCACCTTTTATGATTGGCCTGTTAGAATATCGGGATTAGCCCTCGTCATGACAGAAGTGTAGCATATTCTACATTTGCCAAATTCATCCCACTTTCCAAACTCAGATGAACGAGGGCTCAGATGATGAGGTAGCTCCCGTCGACATTGGGGAGGACACAACTGAACCGAGTCTCAGGGAGAACATGTCAGATATTGCCGCCAATATCGATTATGTCGACTTTCTCGGTATGATGCCATCTCAGTTGCCAGCTTTGAATCGGCAGATGCTATCAATGGACTACGATTCCAAAAGCGATTCTTCCCACAGCGATCTCCCTGATATAGCATCTGTTGATGATGGGCAAGATGACACTGCAAATATTCTCATCGAGGATTTGCCAGAAAGCGCTACAAATATCGATGTGGTCGATTCCGCGATTGCACAGCAAATGATGAAGCTGTCAGTGGAGGAAAGAGAAAAGGCGTATATGGATTTACATGGTGTGAAAATTGGTCCGGTAGAGACTGAGGAAGCCATCGATGCTGGACTAGATGCATTGAAAGACGAGATAAACAGGCTGCAGGACAAAGATGCATTCAATCTTGCGTGGTCCATGAACCCAGAATATGTAGAAAATCGCTCCTTTCGTTTGGCGTTTCTCCGAGCAGAATCCTTTGATGCCAAAAAAGCAGCCCTTCGTTTTGTCCGTTTTTTTTCAACTCAAGCTCGATTTATTTGGTGAGGGCAAACTGGTGATGGAAATTGTGCAGGACGATCTTGATCGTGAAGCCATGGAGGCAATGTATTGTGGACGAGGACAATGGCTGGATGTGAAGGATCGGGCAGGAAGGCACGTCATAGTTACTTTTTTTGATGATCAGTTCTCAACAAGGGCTTTGGTAAGGAAACTGAAGTCGTGTTGGCTTTTGAGGATTCTGTCTCACGTCCCTCCTATTTTTTCAGCTTCAGCGAGCATATTACAATGCTATGACTGGCATTCGTACTGAAGACGCGCAGATTCATGGCTTTGTTGCTATCATATACGCACTAGCTCCTCGTCTATCAGCCCAACGAGACGTTGTAAAGCATTTCAATATCACGAAGTTTGGCGATGGGCTTCCAGCTCGAGTTGAAGCAATACATTTTTGCCATTGTGACCATATTGCACAAGAGCTATTTGCTGTTTCGAAGGCAGCCCTAGGTTCTTTCATCAAGACTAGAACAAGAACTCACCATGGTAAGGTGACTTTCGGAAGGATATCATTCTTATTCATTTTGTTTCCTGATTCTTTGTATATGTACTTGTTCCAGGAACTCACGATGAGATAATGTCGAGTCTGACAGGATTTGGTATTGTCCCAGGAACTATCCCAGTGGCAGAAGGTTGCAAAATCACAAATTTGGAAGCCTATCATCAACAATTGGTGGATTTGCGTACAGCAGAGCGGCGGACACAGCCAAAGAGACGCAAGATTAGTGTTCCATTTAATGTTGACGTTCTTTTTGGTAAAGGAACCCCTTGTCAGATTCATCAAGGCAATGTGCAGCTTCGTCGTCTAGTTTCTCATCGGTACAAGATGTATGACAAAGCTGTTCAAAGAGGACAAAAGAATAAAATTGCCCAGGAAACTGTACATACCGTGCAACAAAATGCTGGGATGTTTCTACGACCTGAGGGTGACTCATGGGTTTGTGTTGAAGATAAGGTAGCGAGGCAAAAAGTAAGCGCCTTATTTCGATCGTTTCGCCCCAGAGTAGGAGAAAAATGAAGTGAAGTGCTTTGTCAAGGCCTTGATTCATTCCCACACATTCACTGCGCGCCTCCACTCAGCATCACTGAAGAAGAGCTCATTACTGGATCCCAACGTCTCGATCGAGCATTGGATGTCTTGCACGATGTCATTGGTGGCTGAATTCGAAGAGTCAGATTGTCATGCTTTGGAGTATTTGTGATAATGTTTGCTTTACCATCCTAGGACTACCGGTACAGCCTAAATACCGATAATAACGATTCTCCTCCAGTCTAAGTGGTCCAACTTCGTCGCAGTTTGGTTGCGCATATATGCCGTTAGATTGGTCCTAATTGGGTGGCCTGTCAAGCAGTAATCCCGAAGCAAATAAACCGAAACACACAGCCCATGAGGGTCAGTGGTGTAACACATCTCTACATTCAATTTTCAAAATCAGATGAATCAGGACTTACACGAGAGAGCGCTCGTTGATAATGGGGAGGGCACGTCAACGAGTCGTAGCGCAGGTATGGCCGCAACTATCGAAGAGAACAATTTTTTCAGTATGATGTCATCTCAGTTGCCAGCTTTGAACCGGCCATTGCATTCCGTGGACAACGATCCTCCTAATATGAGACCTGTGGATGATGAGGAAGACACTGCAAAAATCCTCATCGATAAGTTACCAGAAAGCGCGACAAATATCGATGTGGTTGATTCCTTGATTGCCAATCAAATGATGAAGCTATCAGTGGAGGAAAGAGAAAAGGCGTACATGGATTTACATGCTGTGAAAAGCGATCTTATAGAGACCAAGGAAGCCATCAATGCTGGACTAGACTCATTGAACTACGAGATAGAAAAATTGCAGGACAAACATGCTTACGATCTTGCTTGGTCCATGAACTCCAAATATGTGGAAAATCCTTCCTTTCGTTTAGCCTTTCTAAGAGCAGATTCGTTTGATGCAAGAAAAGCAGCCCTTCGAATTGCCCGACATTTTCAAGTGAAGCTCGATTTGTTTGGTGAGAACAAACTTGTAATGGAAATTGTACAGGACGACCTTGATCGTGAAGCCATGGAGGCAATGTATTGTGGACGAGGACAGTGGCTGGATGCCAAGGACCGTGCAGGAAGGCGTATAATTGTTATTTTTTTCGATGATCAGTTTTCAACAGAGGCAATGGTAAGGAATCGTTGAATCGTGTTGTATACCATTGACTTTCGATGACGAATTCTCATGTCCCGCTTTTTTCAGCTTCAGCGAGCATTTTACCTTGCTATGACTAGCATTCGCAATGAAGACGCACAGATTCATGGCTTTGTTGGTGTCGTATTCGCCCTCGCTCGACGTCCATCGCAACGAGATACAGGTACTGTCAAGCATTTCAATTTCACAAGATCTGCTGATGGACTTCCAGCTCGCTTTGAATCAATTCATTTTTGCCAGTATGGTGAGATTGCACAAGAGCTATTTGCTGTTTCGAAATCAGCCATGCCTGCAAAGATCAAGACTAGAACGAGAACCCACCATGGTAAGGCAATTTGGGGTAGGACATGCTGTTTTATACTTTTTGTTTTCTGATGATTCTTCATGCTTGTCTTAGGAACACATGATGAGATAATGTCGAGTCTGGCAGGATTTGGTATCGCACCAGGAAGCATCCCGGTGGCAGATGGTTGCAAAATCACAAATTTGGAAGCCCACCATCAATACTTGGTGGATTTGCGTACAGCAGAGCGGTTGACACAGCCGAGGAGACATAGGATCAATCTTCCAAGTAAATTTGATATTCTTTTTGGAAAAGGAACGCCTTTTCAGAAGCATCCAGGCAACGTACAGCTTCGAAGTTTAGTAACTGAACAGTATAAGATCTATGAGAAAGCTGAGAAAGGAGAAAAGAGTCAAATTTCTCAGGAAATTGTGCGAGCCATGCAACAAAGTGCAGGGTTATTTCTACGGCCTGATGGTGACGCATGGGTTTGTGTTGAAGATGACGTCGCCAGGCAGAAAGTTAGCGCCTTGTTCCGATCAGTTCGCCTCAGATTCGGGGAAAAATGAATCTCATTCAACATCAGATGTATCCTTTCCTTGCTATATCATAAGTGGCCTCAATTGTTGGAATCTAATGTTGGAATCTAATGAATGTTGGAAACCCCGCATTGTCGTCGAGTGATCAAGGCTTTGGTACGAGTACCGTACTAGCATCACCCTTTAAAAAAAAACCATCTCCTTTCCCCTTTTCCCGTTTCTCCAGCACCCATTTGATTCGAAGTAGTCGTATTGGCATAAGCCTCAGCAAATTGAAAATGAAAATAAACGAAAATAAACAATCGAACTCCACTTATACCTTTTGTGCTCTCGTATTGGAGGGCTTTCCTTTGACATCTTTATCCAAATAGCGTCCACGAGGTGACTCAACACCTTAGGAAACTCGGATTGGATCTTCCAAAGTGAGTTCATCGGAAGACGAAGGAGAGTTTCTGGCGGCACCGCTGTTGCGGTCAGACAGTCACGACACCAGTGTCAGCAGTGCCAATAACAATATGATGGAAGTGACAACTGGCAATCCCAATGATGACGGTCCCAATTACTCCTCAGGGCCTTCAGAAGGTGTTATGAAAATGATAGCGCACAAGTTGCTACAAACAAAAACTGTTGCCGATGTCCTTCCTGGCTTTTTTCAAGTCATTCTGACTAGTGGCAAGATGACAGGAATGGCCTTTGTCGGTGCTTATCTGGCCTTTCTGGGAATATGGTTCCCCATTTACCTATTTTCGAGGCTTGTGGGAGAAATGGGAATCTATGCATTGACAGCGGGAACCATTTTCATGGTGGGCCGGTCCATCATCAGATTGTTGGCCTTTCCTGGATCGACCAACCGAGTGTCCTCCGAAATTGAGAAGGAATTCTCCAAGTATTCAGTGCGTATGATCAATGCTTCTTCCATCAGCATTATGGATTTAGCCCAGGCAATCGCGTCGGCTGGAAACACTCAATCGGGATCTCAGTCATACGCGGCCTATGAAATCCCGGCCATGTGGAAACGGGCCAAATCCTACCGAGACAGAGTGTTGGCTGTGTACTTGGAAGTTTTGCAATACATCTATTCAAGCGATGAACCTTCCTCTCCTACCATGTCGAATACTACCAAGTATGGAAACAACAAGCTGTCTGGTGATATTGGTGACTTGTCCGGACTTACGGTAAGTTTTGGAAACGATGTTGAGTTCAATAGCTTCATCATTTGTATCTCACATTTTCCTGTATAGCTTGAAGCCAGAGCCGATGGAAAGCGGCTTCTAGAACATCTATCTCGCGTCATCTCAGATATGGACCGACTTGAAGAGCAAGCTGGGTCCATGTTGGAACAGAGTTCTGGAAAGACCCAAATGCCGTCTAGTTCGGTGCGAATGATTGCCAATTCCTTAGTGGTCGTTGCGAACGATTTGAAAGACTTTGCCGAGTCACTTGGTCCATCAGCGTCAGGTGAAGGCGATGCTAGTTCGCCTAATGAAGGAGACGAGGCCAATTTGTCGGTGGATGCCGTTCGCCGGAGATTCGAAGAACAAAATACGTCCGTAATGGATTCGATCACCTCCGGAGCTGCATCCATTCTATCCATGCTAGATCCACCACCCCATACTTCCATATTTGGTTTCGATGTTCAACGGGGATGTATGTTGGCACGATACAAGGGAGCAAAACAGATGTGGGTCAAACGGCCTTCCGGTGGAATGATTGATGTCGTTCACGTTCCAGCAACGACCCACTGCCAACCTTCGCAAAAGAACCCACAAGCCGTCATGTATTGCAATCCAAATGCAGGGTTGATTGAAGTGGCTACTGGTATGAGTCTAGCTGGGGGCAACGTAATGCAGGAAGAGGAAGGCGTTGTCAATGATAACTGTTGGACTGACTTTTACACCGGCGCCGGCTATGACGTCTATCTATTCAATTACGCGGGATTCGGGAGAAGTTTTGGGTCTGGATATTTCGGCGTCGGAAGACTAGGTGGGGAAGAAGCTTACGTTGAAGGAACCTATGGTCGAATCAAGAGAATCATCCACGGCACCTTCTTTGGATTCCAGGTGCGTTTGCTTTCGTCTCGTTTTTATCCTAGCAGTGATCATGGAATCTAACATGCTTTGTTTTTTCGATAGCCTACCCCTGCAACCTTGCGGACTGATGGTCTTGCTCTTGGGACACATTTGATTTCTGAATGTGGGGTGGAATCCCTTGTCATACATGGCGAAAGTATTGGTGGAGTTGCGGCATCTGGAACCGCGAGACACCTTTCGCAAACCCCCTTTACTAAGGATAAACTATCCTTACTCATTTGTGATCGTACTTTCTGCAATCTGGAAGCTGTGGCACAACGATTGGTGGGTGGTTGGTCGGCCTTTGCCGTTCGCGGGCTCGCACCATTTTGGTCCACTGATGTTGCTGGCGACTTTCTTGCTGCAGACTGCCGAAAGGTAGTTGCAAATGATTCCGCAGATGCCATTATTGCTGATCCGTCATCGCTAAAGGCTGGTATTGCATGGTGGAGAGAACTCTGCCGTGGAAAGGAGACGACAAAGGGAGTCGGTTGGATAATGGATGCTCCAGTCCAATACCGAATGGCAGACTGGGAGAATGTTGCTGTGAATCGTGAGTTGCATTGTTGAGTGAAAGTAATGTTGGTTGTTATATTGCCCTAACCCCCATTCTTGGATAACAACTTAAGATTCTCGATATGTCCGATCAGCGTTCACACGAGCAACTGCGCCTGTTTGGCCTTCTGATAAACACATTTCGCTAGAAGAGGCTTTTCACTTTGCTGCTTGTACCAAGAGGCTGGGAAAGATTGCGTCAATAGAAAAAAAGAGGCAGTCAATGATAAATTTGGTGGAGCACGGAACAACAGAGTGCGTCGTGCCCATCTTTCTCATCTGGAAGGGACTAGCTTGCTGCGATGGCTTATGTGGTGCTGCTCTGGGGATGACGGTGAAGGGTGGATTCGACTGCACCGTCTCATGGCTATGTTCGCTTCTTACCTTTGGTGGGCAAACGGTTGTCGAAGGGATGGAGCATCGCCAACAACTCTCTTTTGGCGAATCCAATGCAACGAAACTCGGAAAGGTGCTGACATCTGATTTCGATTGCCGTCCTCCTGGATTCGAGAAACAGGAATCAGATTCCGTTGTACATCCAAAACCAATTCCAGAAGTCTTGGACGATATTAAGAAGATCATTGAGGACAATGCAGGCGACGAGACTCTTGGACTAGGTGAGTAGTCAGAAATGAACTGCGTTTACGGTCAAGTCATGTTCTTTCTAACTCGTCCATCATTATTCTAACAGTGGAAGAGGAGCTATCATTTATTGTGGGGACGCTGGAATACATTGTGGCTCGTTTGTCATCGCCATCCGTCGTGGAACAAAGCTGCAAGAATCGACACCTCGGATTGGGCGAAGGAATGATTGGTGCGTTCATGAACCTCCACTGCGGTCACAACAATCCTTTTTCTGCCGGTGAGCGTAGCAGGCTAAGAGATATTTTGCTGCAAGCTAGTGGTCAGAAGTAGAAGTGACAATGGTCTAGTGGTCAAGCAGAACTGAAGTACTTCAATAGCGTAAATTTAGGTACTTCCCTAGCTCTTTATTGCGTCGGTTGGAAGAAAAATTCTATTGAATCGTGCAGAGTCTTGTTTCGATGAGAGCACATGAAAGCTTCCTCGGCACTTCCCACCATGTGTTTGGAACGTTCCAACACTTTGACACAAGAATAACATCCACTTTATGATCCCAACAAGCGCCCAACAATGGACTTGGGAAAGCGATGCGTTCCGTCCGGCGTCGTTCACCAAAGACCACAAACTACTAGAAATGGTGGATCATCGAATGGACGATTCCACAGCTGACTTGACTGTCGACGATTCCACAGCTTACTCCAACACGGCAGTCTTGGACTTGGTAGAAAACTATGAACGTAATTCCGAGGTGGTGAAATCGAGAAAGACGTACACCCTGTCGGATCTTTTGGATAGTTTGCTACTTTGCGCCTTCTTTAGTGATACCACCACCGCCACCACAAACTTGGAAGAAGACGATTCGAATGACGGCAAGCCAAGTCGTGAAAAGACGCTTGTAAAAGTGACAGCCACTGCATTTCCAAGAAAAAGGAGTAGGGACAGAGACGAATACCGAGAGTATTTGAATATGGATTTGCTACGGCGGAAAAGCTGTGCCTTTGTGGGGGAAGTAAACGAATCACATCAGTTCAAACAGGGAACGATGGTGACTGCATTGAAAATGTACCCAATGGACACTCGATTCATTTCCATTCGGTCCGAGTCACTCATTACACTGCCATCAAAACTAGATCCAGGAGAAGCAAGTGCCGTTCTTTCGACGTATCTACCTGCCTTTGTAATGCTTCATCACGGATCCAGAGACCGCCAAAACAGACATTCATTTTCTTCTTTAGAAGGACAGAACATACTTCTGATTGGTGGAGATGTGATAGAGCAAGAAGCACTGATCAAGCTTGCATTCATGGGAGGAGCAAATAAGGTATCAGTGCTGCCAGTATCGCAAGAAGGTGATCCAACCTTGGAACGGCGTCGTTTTGGAAGGGTCAATTTAGATGTGTTGCCACTAGCAAATCCCGAAGCAATCCTGTCGCAACTAGAAGGATCCATGGACTTGGTTATTGATCTCTCTTTTCCACTGCACTTTAGCAGTATCCAATCGACCGTAAGGCCCACGACTGGGAGATTGGTGGCACGAAAAAATGAACCCAATCGCAATATTTTGGCTCGGACCGTTTCCAACATGGTCCACCATGTGGCTCTATTTTTGGTGACCAACGCTTATTTGTTTGACTTTGATTGTCTATCGATGAACCACAATGGTGACGTCAAGGTGAGTTTACAGATACGCCTGCTGCTATTGAAAATATTCTACTGCCCCAACTCACAATATTGTCTTCTTGGCGCACCACGCACAGCGAGACATTCAGTACCTCTTTCAATTGCTATCGAATCGAAGGATACGACCCAACATTGATAGATTCATCACTCGTGACGATGTCACAAAAGTCACTGAGGAACTTGCAAACACTCCTGCTGCAGGTGATGTTATTTGCGAGTTGCGATGTACCGATTATTAGACATGTGCTAGGTGTATTGCCCGCGCTTCCTGTAACCCAAAATGTACCAACATGATACCACTAGAATACTATACTAGCTAACTACACTTTGTAATAAACTCGACACGTATATATTCCTAAATCGTAATGATGATACTTGTTATTATTAGCAGTCCACGTCATTGGAGTCATAACATTTTCTTTTAATCTCTGCCAGTTGCCATTTTGTTGGAATCAACAAATAGTTTGCTAAAGTTGCATTGGCTCTGGTCTGCTCGAATCATTGGGAATCCCCACTCCCCTTGCGATATCCCTGGCCTTGGTCAAGCCTCTGGGATCGCAATTGGCAGCAAGCCATGGATGTGTCAAGGCTTGTTCTGCAGTGTATCTGTACTCAATGTTATACGACAATAGCGTCGAAACAAAAGCCATTGCCTCGTCCGAAACATCTCGAAAGAGTTCGTGAGGAAAGGTATACTCTCCTTGAACAATAGACGCCTTGATTGCATCGTCGTTCTTTCCATAGAATGGAGGAGCACCGCTGAGCAACATGTACACAATAACACCTAGCGACCAAAGATCGCAGGCTTCAGTGTATGACTTCTTGAGTACTTCTGGAGCAACATAGTAGGAGGATCCCACTACTCGACTTAGTCTTTGTCCTGGTGCAAAGTGTGTTGAAAGACCAAAATCAATAAGCTTTAGTGGACTCCACACATCCTTTCCAGATTCCAATACCCAGTTTTCCAGTTTAAGATCGCGATGGCAGATACTTTTCGAGTGCAAGAATGCAACTGCAGAGAGCATTTCTGCAACAGTTTTGGCTGTGAGTGAAGAAGAACATGTGGTTGGTTAGTTGTGTGTTTTATTCATTCAATACGCCTTGGATTCGTCATGATCAAAGTCAAACAAACTACTTACCAGCATAGGCTTCGGTTACTCCGTGCTTTGGATGAGTAGTCAGCAAGTGGAACAAGTCTCCTCCCCGTCCAAGTTCCGTTATTATGAAAAGTTCATTATCGACGCAAAATACATCGTAAAGTCGAATGACATTGTCGTGTCCTCTGAGCTCTCTAAGCACGTTGACCTCCTCTTGCAGCTTGGATATGTACTTTGGATCATTTCGCAGCATGACACACTTGCAAGCAAACTTTTTGCGTTTGCCCGATCGTCCCGAGTGTCCTTCCGCTTCGCCCCGCGAGGCAATACACACCTGTCCATATGATCCCTTACCAATAACTAGATCACGATGCAGCAGATAAGCTGGTCGGCGTTGTTCCGATGGTGTTGGCGATTCAGTAGTTACCGCAGGTGGAGGAAAGGTGTCAGGTGGTGGTGTGGAAGCGCGCATGTGAAAATTAGGTCCAGCTGGCGGAGTGAAATGTTGGCTCGTTGGTGTCAATGTGTGTGGGGCACTTGCTGGTCCCTGTCGTGACGATGGGTGATAGTGATTGCCACTGGGTTGCTGAGGGTAGCGTTGGCGAGAGGCAGAGTTTCTAGAGGAAGATCGCCCATTTGAACGGGACTTATGCTCTCCATCAGGATCCTCTCGTGGTCTTCTTCCGTCATACATTTTTGAAGATGGTGAATACTGTGCAGAGTGATGAGCCGCGTATTTGGAGCGACCGTGGTGTCCTTCGACTTGCATCCCTCCTTGGTGCGAGGGAGAATCGTCTGGTATTTGATGTGGTAAAGCTGACTGAGGTGGATTTCCGTACGAAGCTTCTACTGGCATGGAAGGTTCTGGAAGTGGCTTTCAGTTTTGAAATCAGCAATCGGCGTTATAGTAGTAGTAGTGGTTGTGGTGTTTGTCCAATCCTCTACTGTGTGTGTGCCAATCAAATGCTAAACTGAAACTGAATGTTCAATCAACAAGGTGGTTTTGGTTTGTCCGTGTTTGTGTGTGGCGTCTCCCTTCCAAATTGAACGAAAGGACACCAAAAACTCGGCGTTGCGCTAATCACTGTGTTTCCACACTAAATTAGGGTGCAACGGTCACTTCTTTTGAGCAAAGAAATGAAAAAATAGTCCCAGTAAAAAACTCGTGGACGGGTAAAACTGTTGCTGAAATCGAATAGTAAATCACAAGAAACGTTCTGTGAATGCTACCGAAACGACTTGTTGCTTGCTCCTAGGGTATAATGCTGACTACCGATCTAATGGATAGTGATCTTGAGTGTAGCTGAGATAGATATAGAAGGAGTCGATGTTCGATGAACTACCAAACACCAAAACAATGATGAACACAAATTTCCAAGCGAGGAGGAGCGATTTTTGATGATCTCGAGCCGACAGAGATTAGAGAGACGGTTTTATATAATCCTCAGCGCTGAATATATGCCAGCGCAGGGGAAACTCCGATCAAATGCTGGTAGGTTTCCACGCGTTTCGTACGCATTTTCCATAGACAGGGAGTCAGCCCGGCAAGAGTCAGCCGAACCATTGTTGGAGTTTTGATTGGGAGTTTGGCGACGAGAATGCAGTCCAGTGCATCATTCGCCCGATCATCGAATTGGGATCAAAAGATCTCTGAGGGAGAGCGTGCCCCTGTTTCCCGCAAGGACTTACTGTAATTACTCCCACGTAGATGTGTATGTACATGTGCAGTACTTTCACAATGTGGTGACGGGAACCCTATTTTCCAACTGTCCAACCGACACCTCCATATGATAAAATCGAACAAGAATATCGCTAGTCTTAAATGTTGGGTTCTTCAGTTCAGGTGGGTTGATGGAAAGCATCGCCGAACTCATCCTTCTGAAGTACAAGACATCTCCAGCACCTAAGTGACCATCCTTGTTGAAGTGACATCCTTTTATAGAATGATATACCACCAGAGTCAGTCGCTGGCCGCCAACAATACCTGGTATCGGCAGCACTTTATGACATTGTCGATCTACCGGTGCATCGCAATGGGGTACGCAGTATTGATGTATGATATACCAGTATAACTGCATGCACTACTGTAGTGGTACTCTTTCAGAACAAGCAAATACGAGAAGAAAAACATGTGTAGTATCATATATTTCAGCAAGGTGGTGACAAGAGCTAACAACGGACCAGAACTAACGTTTTGTCCTCATGCTCTAGTAGTACCAGTTCTAGTAGTACTAGTAGTACACAGTGTACTACTACAGCAATTACTAACACTTTTCTCTGTACTACTACTACCCCATCATTTCTTTCCAATAGTGGAGACCACAATTCGTCGTAGATGATGCTAGTGTACGCCCGTCCGATCTACTCTAGCTGGACATCCTTTTCACCTGCTTTCATAGTATCATGCATTTGCTCGAACTGTGCATCCCATTGCATTGCATTCATTGGTGATGGTATTGTTGGTTGCAGATTTGAAGGCGGTATTGAAAAGTCTTTTTTTCAAAAATCGATTGCGAAAATGCAATGCGCAATATTTATGCATGCGGATGTGATGGGTGATGGAGATAGGACAATGAATGACAATGACTGCATCATAAATCCTCCACTAACTAGCCAAGGAAAAAGCGTCAGCTAAGACTAGCGGCAATGATATTGCTGCTCGTAATACAAATAATTCAACAACAACAACAACAACAACAACAACAACAACAACAACAACAACAACAACAACAACAACAACAACAACAATAGAAACGACAACGACGACGAGAACGATAGTGTGGAAGTCGACGATGGCCAAACAAAAGGCAAGGGTCACGTCTTGACATTACTGACGAATAGTAGGAGTCAGCTGAGCTTTTTGGAGGCTTATGATTTAAGCAAGGCACCATTCGATTCTTCACCGAGAGTTGTATGGACCAAATGACAGGCGTGAGGATACCTCCAATTGCAAACAACCGCTTGAAATAATTGACCTATCGGGAACAGAACATATGCCTCGCAAGCGCAACACCTCGACAAAATAAAATAAGGATTATGGTTTCACCAACACAAACAAGAAAGTTCGTGCAGAATCCTTATAACCGGAGCGGAGCTATTGACGTCGGGCGACGAAGTAGATAATCCAGAATCCAGATGTTTCATCTAGCAAGAAGTTTTGTCATTCGTCGCCTTTCCTAGAATGTATCACTATAATAACAACAAATTTCAAACTATTTTACAGTTTTCGAACATGAAAGGCATAAATTGATCTCTTCTCTTTAGCCCAAGATCATAATGCCTGTTGCCAACGTTGTCCCTCCCACAGACATGTTGGTGAGACGTCGTCGTGTATACTACCATATTTTCTTCGACGCTGAAACTTTGATGCGGAATGCGGCACATATGTAAGAGCATCGGTCGCTACTCTTGTCATAACCAGATAAGAGAGCATGGCACTGATGGAGAGGTTTGGCGGTCATGCTGGCAGGAGGAGTAATGTTTCCCCGAATTTCACTTCATTTGCAATGAAAAACCGTTGCAAGTCCTTAACAGGTACAGGGGGTTTTGACTTTTCCACACCCCAAGAAGGATTATCAACCCACAATTCATGCCGAGTAGCTGGCCTCGGCACTGTTTCTTAGTATGGCAACTTTTCTCTTCGCACCCCATTCATCATAGTACACAATTGCTTCAGCAATTAGACTTTGGGCAGTCAATTCCTTGTCTGCGGAAGTAGCGTGTGGCTGCCGCAAAAAATCAGCATAGCGTTCATAGAACAAGGCTGCGTCGTGTATCAATCCTGCACTTTCTGCCATCATAATGGCCTCCTTGTAGAGACCCTCTGCTTTGAGGTCCCTAAGCTCCAGTGCAGCCTGCTCTGCGTTCAGTAACAAATGAAAGTGGATCACATTTGGACATCCGCTCTCAGACCAACTTGCGATTAATCTTCGAGCTTTCAAGGCCTCTTCTTCAAATCTCTTCCTTCTCGTTCGTCTGGCCATTGCATAATTCGCTACTCCTCGATGAAATGCCTCCGTCATGCAAGAAGGATGCCCCGTCTCGGTTTTCTGATAAGACTTACCCCATTGCGTCGAAAGGCTTGCCGCCTTCGCGTAATCTCCGTAGTAGATCAATAGCTGTAGCCTTGCAAAGTAGGTTTCTGCATTATGAAATGGATTCATCATGCTGGGGTCGAAAACGTCACCTTCTAGCACTGTTGACTCTGCGGAATCCCCTGTCAAATTCTTAAACATCTGCCACTGCATGTTCAAAAAGGCAACAGATTCAATTTGCTTCATTTCTCTCAGTCGATGAATACAATCAGGTATTCTCGACATGATCCTTTGCAAATTCATTCCCAGAAAGTACGGGAAATAAACGTATTGAGCAATAAGACACCCAGTTCCAAACAAAACATTCCCGGCCCGCATTCCGGCAACAAATCCTTCGTGCAATGGCATAATTGATGATTCAAAGGGTTGCGTCCAAGGTAAAATGAAGTTATGAGCGGTGTACATCGTTGATGCGGTAGAATAGCCATGCTGAAGTCGTTGTTGCAAAAGCAACCCAATCTCTGCAATCGCACTGGCTTCTTCCCAATCCTTGAGATGTTTATTCACAAGCATTCCCAAGACAGTGAAGCCAAAGCCCGAGACATCATGAACTCCGTGCTGCAATGTCATTTGGACTAAACGAGCGGAGCACAATATTTGAATTTCGTGCATATCTTCGGCATAGCAAGCATACAGCAATTTGGATAGTAGCAGCATAATTGCCTTATGCTTTGGTTTTGTCATAAGAGGCTTTGCTTCATGGAAATCTGTTGGAAGTCTTTTAATCATCCTTCTCATTTTGCTCAACTCGTATTTTGCCTGCCATCCAACCGTAAAGCGACTCCATATCAAATCACAACCAAACTCTTTCAACACCTCCGAAACGAAGTCAATGCATTCCAGGAACCGAAAGTCAACCGATGAAAGTTTGTGGAACTGTGAGATATACAACGGTAACTTATCCAGTTTGGTGCAGTTCTCTTGAGATACGACCGCTCGATAGTACTTCTGCATGATCTTCACATGACCTATGGCAAGCTCCACCTCTGCTCCCAGAGTGTACAATCTAAGGGTCAACTGATAGTGATTCTCCCACTTTTCCGAAGGAAGCAACTTGATTCCGTGGGACACGTATTTTGCTGCGCTACGCAAGGCGCTGATGTCGCGTGCTTTTTCGGCAGCCTGCAAGTTGAGTTGGGCAAAGTCTGGTCTTCGTTTGACGTTGCCTTGATTGATCAGATCGGCCATGTTGAAAATTGACACTTCTACGGACGTTTTATCCATCTTCACAAGCGCGTCGAATAGAATGCAACCAATCTCAAACTGAAAGGCCTCTTTGGTTGTCGATGGATCAATCAAAGACAAAGCTGCCTCCTGCACCTGGTCGTGTACCCAAATGTACGTCCCTTCGTCGATTTTTTCAACGTATTGGTTCTCTTGTAAGAACACAAGGAGATCCCCCATGCTCTTGATAATATCGCTATCAATATTGATCCCAGCATGTTCCGATACAGTAAGTTGCAAGGAGGATTCGTGAAAACAGGATCCCCAACAAGCCGCATAGGGCAAGAGCTTCTGCATATCTGGCGAAAGCTTTTTCATACGACGTAATAATAAGTCTTTCACGTTGTCAGTCGACGCCGTCAGCTTTTCAACCATTCTTAAATCCCAAACCCACCTCGACAATCTTTCGTTGTATTCAATGTACTTTTCATCATCCAACATTTTTACGAACTCCACCGTAAAATGCGGATTGCCAAAGGTTCGTCTGTGCACAAGTTCTGCAAGAGGCTGGGTGACATGCTCATTGTCAACCTGTAACATATTTAAGACAATTTGATTCACATCTCGAACAGAGAAGTTTTGAACATCAACGGTTGTCACATGGAACTGATGTTTCACAGACTTAGCTGATAAGTTCCGGATGGCTCTGAGAATGCGCTTATCTTGGCCCTCGTCCGAGCGATAGCATCCCACAATCATCATGGGGTTTGTATTTTTCATGTCCGAAATCAAATAATCCAGCACATCCAAGCTAGCAGCGTCAGCCCACTGTAAGTCATCTTGGACCAAAACCAATGGATGAAAGTAGGTACTCAAAACCCGCATCAATATTCGAAAAGCGTACTTGAGTCGTTTTTCTCCCGCTTGAAAGCCATCGTCCAGGTGATCGTGTCCGGTGGCATCGCTTGCTTGACTGTCGTTGCTACCCACGTTGCGACTGCCATTGCTACTCAAGTTACTTTCATCCAAGGTGCGAAAACTCCTATCAAATTCTCTGAGTTTCTGGTCTGTGACTCTGGTACTCGCTCCTGAATTTCTGATACTCTGCTCCAAATATCTCACACTGTCGTCTTGACGTCCTCGTCGAAGAATATTCTCTAAATATGGAATCATAGTTGTCAGTAGATCTAGCTCTGGACCCAATTCGGCCCGCAGTGCATCCGCAATGTCAGAAGCTACTTTTTGCATTGCTGGTGGAACTCTCGTAAATTCCTCCGGTGCCATTTCCGAGCTCCCATCGGGCGCTAGAGGTACACCCGAACGCCTTCGCACCATGATCCTTCTCATTGACATTTTGCCACCAACTAGTTTCTGAAAGATTTGTCCAATCGCAAGCAAAAGGCCAGAATATGGTTCATCGGAACTCTTACTGTCAAATTTTCCTTCTATCAGCAAGCCACGGGGAGTGCTCGCAACTGCTCTCTCGAGGGTCTGGGGTAATCATTAGATTTTGATTAAATTTGAAATACATACGAGAACGAACTATTGCCACTCTTACCTTGGCTAATGTTGAAACACCTGCTCCTGAGTATCCCTTAATCCAAATCAATTCTTTGTAGTTTTGTCTCGCTTTAAGCCCGTGCGTGCCGGCCGAGTGCCGTGAACTGCTAATAGAACCATTTGACGAAGTTACCCTGTTGGATGAGAGAAGGCGTGAAAAGCAAGAATTCAGGAGCCCTCGTTCCCATTGCCGTCCAACCAAAGCAATAGAATCGTATCTCAATTTTCCACGACCTTCAACGGAAGGTTCTCCCTCTTCCGTCTTTGAATTCTCCATAGTAGGACTCTGGGATTGTGATCTTAACTGTGCCAAACGATCATCTGGCAGACGTCTGAAAGAAGTTGACTTCGGTCTTGGCGAGAAAAATCCCAACGAAGTTGGGTTGTTTGTCAAAGGTGTTGATGCACTACGTGGGAAATCGCGTTCGAGAATGGTGCTAGTTTGCTCCATACGTCTTGCTCTTGAAGACAAGGACTTCTATCTTACTCTTTGCTTTTCGAGTGTGTCGTCACGTTCATCTTCCGTCTGTGCAGTGTTGCTTTTATATGTAGTCGGACAAATTTTTCCGTTAAGTGAGATTTTCGCTTGTTAGTAGAAGTCCACGATAAGTGACTACCACGAATAAATGAATCGATCGCCAGCACGCACTGCAAATTTCCCATCATGAACGAATTTTTGGGGAGCACCCTCTTGAGTCGAATGAGTCAAACTTCCTTGACCGTCCCCATGCATGCATGCATGCATGCATGGATGCATGCATCGTGGTGAAGAACACTGTGTCCTGCCGATGACCTTAGCAAACCTCTTGGATTGGTACTACACTCCCGGTATGCACGTCGATTGATGGGACACTACTACTAGTTTACACCTCTTGCACATTGGGATGATGACTACAGTCATTAGGGGAGAGTGTTGTGCCAAGAGTAAGTAAACCCTGACAGACGTACGACAGACAGGCTGTATCTGACACGTCATGCGGTTGCGGTATATACTGAATACTCTTGGTCGATAGATCGACATCGATCATCGATCCTTCAAGTCAGTCAATAGGGTAAACTAGCGCACTATTTCTCATTCATCTACATTTGCATTGCATCAGGATTTAGTCATATCTACTAGTGCGACGCTATGGTGCCTGAGTTTTGGCCTGGCCCTGAGGATTGATTCATTGCTTGCATCAGGATACTACAGTAGATGAGCGACCTCCATGAGGTGGCTATGTAGTACTAAAAACGAAACGAGAGTATTGTAAAACGTAAAACACCCCTTAGAAAAGTCTTATCTTGTTTTATACAGCAAAAATCTTGCTTGCAGCGCAGTGCCCAGATTGCCTATCAAAAGAATATGAAGAGTCCATTGACAAGCACCACCCGGCACCTTCGTCACCTCCCCATCGCTTTATAGATACGCCATCTTTCTGCAGCTCTGCATAGTCAATGAACATCGCATCGTCTCCATTGATGGAGACGATGACCTCGTCCAGGTCTTCCTGCGTGTGAACTGTCGTTGTCAAGTTAGCCCCAGTAACACCATTGAAGAAGGTTGAATCTTTCAGACTGCCACCAGAGTAGAATGAGAAAGTGACATCATCTTGGGTATCCTCAGAATTGTTATTATCGTGAAGAAGCCAAATCTCAAATCTCCATTCGTATGCGTTTGTGGGGTTTGCCGAAGAGGCAGAGGTTGATGTACTCGACGGCACCGTTGTTGGTGAGCGGCTGGGAGCAGCTGACGGTACCAATGTTGGGGATCTTGAAGGTTCCGAGATTGGATTCACCGAGGGACTATCAGACGTTTTAGAAGTTGGCTTCATTGACGGGATTATCGAAGGAATCGTTGAAGGAACCGTATTTGGGATGGGGGAGGGGATCATCGACGGCATCACGGAAGGAACAAAAGATGGCAAGAGTGAAAGAACCGTGGAAGGAATAATTGATGGTTTTGTTGAAGAGATCGAGCCCGGATTCTCACTCGGAATGACATTGGGAATCTGATAAGGCTCTGGAGGTTGTGCAGCAGATGGAGATTCACTCCAAATTGATGAGGGAATCGAGCTAGGAGTCTCACTTGGTCCATTAGGCAAATTGGAAGGGCTCTCGTTTAAGCTTTCTTTTGGGCTTTCAGTTCGAATTGCTGTCGGTTGACTCGATAATGCCGGTGTTGGGTTCACATTCGGACTTGTAGTTGCTTTTTGAGATGGAGGAGAGGGAGGGGGCGGAGTTGATGGAATCGAGACTGAAATGAAGCTAGGCACTTCGGAAGGGCTCTGAATCGGGCTTTCACTCTGTATTGCTGTCGGTTGACTCGAAAATGCAGTTGTTGGGTTGACATCAGGACTTGTAGTTGGCCCTTGAGATGGCTGAAATGTGGGGAATGGAGTTGATTGAATCAGAACTGACAAGGGATCCGTAGGGTCTGTCACCAGCACTTCAGTCACGGCCCCTCCTGTTTCTTCCTCCATATATGTAAAAGAAAAGGCAGCCTTCCCTCCGTGTGCTTGCTTTTGATACTTGATCTCCACAAACAGTACATACTCCGATGCCACAATTCGGTTTCCTAGACTATTTCCACCATCACTACTGTCACCATCGCTACCGCTGCTTCCACCTGTACTACCCATATCGCTATCCTGGGGAGGTACGCCCAATGAAACATCTTCTTCTATGGGAGTAGCCTTAACGTATGCTTGGGCCACCTTTACAAACCCCTTGGGAAGCTCCTCGATCTCACTCAGTTCCTCCGTCGCAACAATTACCTTCAGGATCAGCCGGTGGAAGAAGTCAGCGCCACTGACATCATCAAACGTTGAAATATCATCTGACAGTTGATCCAGCAATAGCTTTGTCTCTTCTTCAAGTTGTCGTTCTACCAGTGTCCCTCGCAAACGTCTTGTCGGGTTTTGAGAATCGTAGTTGTCTTTGTCCAATGCTGTTTCAGATTTTTGCCCCTTCTCGGTTTTGAACAAGGGACGCGATGCCAAACAACCGTCACAGATAATCATTGTTTCGAAGACTATCTCCAAGAATGACGACCCTTGTAATCCCTCCACTAGAGGGACATTCGCCTGGTTAATAATCTTGACAACTTGCATTTCTCGCGACAGTGGATCAAGACATTTCCCCACAGGACCCACATGTTCACCAACAGTAAGGTTGTTGTAGGCATCGAACACGATGTCTTCCAACAAGGCTGATTCTCGTCCGTTCAAAGGCCTCGAAAATCCTTCAAACAACATGCCGAACATTCCTATGCGGCTCTCTGGAGAAACAAGCCCACATCGCGATATGATCTGATTGACATCAGGTGTAAAGATGATACCAGGGGCGTTTTCAGACGTCGCAACAGCTGTAGTTCGAAGCAAGGAAGATACGAGAGAATGAAGTGAGACAACGTCTTGTCTGTGGATGTGAATACCAGATCAGAGCTGCAGGTGCAACAGCCGCCTATCGTTGGGGTGCGTTGAATTATTGTTGCAGTCTGATTCGGTTTTGGATTTTAGTCGAATCCATTCGTCCGAGTCAAATGACACAATCTTGCCGTGCTCCGAAAAGAGTACTATTTTCAGTTTCTACCTACCTGATGTCACGGCAACTGTAGTAACTATTGCTCCAGCAACTGTTGCGGCAATAGCGGCTGTCACTACCCCTGTGACAGTTGCACTAGCAGCCCCAGCAGATAAACCTGAATACAATAAAAGCAATGGATACATGCCGATAAGAACGAGGAGGAGGATGACTCCAACTGTTAGTGTAGCTAGACGGACGAAAGTGGACTTACCCGCAGAGGCCCCAGCGCCAACTGAACTACTAGCAGATCCTGTTGATATCAGAAAGCTCGTGTGAGAGCAGTCGTACCATGGAACATTCGGAAGGAAGGGTTTGCGAATATTGTCTTACCTGCAGCTTGTCCAGCCATGGCTTTCAGTCCTGATGGAGAACTTGTAAATCCACCAGCCCCAGCGTTGCTGGTGACACTATCACGGAACATAGGATCAATGTCGAAACCACCAGAATTGGAGCCTCCGCTACAACACTTCACTATTAAAGTAACGAACCAAAAGATGGCAAAAAAAGCTGGATCGTACCACTGGGTTTCATCTTTCCTGCCGTCATCTTCGTCCTCTTTTCTCAAGCCTTCCAAATAATCTTCATCAAAGTTCTTGCTTTTTTTTCACAAGCGTTATCGTCCCCTTGTATCGCAGGCATTTGCTGCTTTCTCTGGCGGAAGTTTTGCTGGATTCTTATTGCGGCTCTTTCAATATGAGTATACTGGAGGAAGAATTCATCCGAGCGGTCCTTCTCTGCTTTGCGCTGCTCGTCTTTGGTGCGAGCGTTGGTGGAGACAATGGTGTCCCGCGGCAGAATATTTCCCGCCGCAACATTATCTTTGTTGCAATATGGCTGTTGTTTGTGTGCGCATACGCCTTCTACAATGCTGGCAAGTTTATCGTTTAGGACGCTTGCAAGCTCATCGTCATCCCGAAACTGCTGTCCATCTTCGCTTTCATGGCAACCTTGTTCCCTGTTTTGGCTGTCACTCCTTCGCCTTCGTCTGGAACGCGATGATGAGGAAGAGAAACTGGACGATGATGACAAGCCCATGGTACTTTGCTCTTTAGAATCGATTCCATGTGATGATGGAAACGAATGATAGACTTGTGGATTTTTTATTTTTTTTTCCGGCCATAATTTGCACATTTTAGACGCGGTGATTATTAACATAGGCGATAGTTACTTTTGGACGCGGTGTAAAATAAAAATAGGTGATAGCTACCTTCGTTCTTGAAGAAATTAGTTATTTAACGTAAAACAGCTTCCTCCGAGTCAATAGACGGGCAAAAACGGTAGCACTAAAAGAAAAATGGGACGCTTGCACAATTTTTTCCTGATTTTTATATTTAAAAAATGGACGGTCTCAAAATGGAAATCATGTTCGAGATTCGAGACGGTTGCGGATCAACTTTTCTTTTTCATTGCATGCAGACCCACATAGGTACCGGTAGGACACTCTACATCCAGAATGGCATCCAAGAATGCAACGACAACAACAGTAGGACTATTCTAGTTAATAGTATTTTTTAAATTGAATCCATCAAATAGTGCAATTGCTCAATGAATCGTTGCACATCATCCCCATTGACTTCAACAACGTTGCTGTCAAAGCTATCAAATCGAAAGGTCCCATTCATGGATTTGGCCGTCAATTCAAAATTGTTGCCAAACGTGTTCCTCATAAAGGTCCCAGCCCGTTCGGGATACTCGTAGCCCACTACCAAGTAGGTCCCCGTTCGTGGCTTTTCGGCGAGCAACACCAGTGGCCGGGACTTGCCTCCCGTCCACTTGCCATTTTCCCGGTGCATGTCCATCAAGAAATGAGCCAATCTGGTCAGTGCCAAGGGTTTTGCAAACACATGATGCTTGTGTTCTTCATCCTTGGCAGATTTTTTGTTCGAGTTGGAAGGTACCAATTCGGACCGCGCCGTCTTGTTTTCTCCCGCACTGGTACAGTTGAGGTAGGCGTATCGAAAATGGCGCAACCGAGTAATGGCCTCCCGGTCCACCAACGAAACCGCCGTGTTGATGACTAATTTTTGGAGGGTCATGGCCATGCGCAAACCAGCACCCAGTCCCGTACTCCCCGAGAGGCTACCGCCATTGACCAAAGTGGAGGTGTCTCGGCCTTCCGCCAAGACTCCATTCCAAGTACCACTTCCATTGGCGCTGTTGGGGGTCGTATTGCAATTGAGAGCGTCGTAAGCAATGTTAAAGGCCTCCACCATCATTTTCTCCTCGTCCCAAGCTTGTTGGTTGAGAGGATCATCTTCGATTGCCTTGGAGGTGGGAGTCTCGCACTCTAGTAAAGCCGTGACAGCATAGGAGGTATCACTGGCCGAAAGAAGGGACTGGTATCCAGTAATCCGAAAGAAACTAGTAAACTGCCAGTTGCCAAGTTCGTATTCCTGTCATCATGAAATAGTAGATAGGGAAAAAATGGTGAGTACTTCTGTTGCCATTGCAACATGTCACCATCCATCCATCCATCATCCATCCATCCATCAACAATTTAGTACGTACCGGCCCATTCTCCACCAACTTATGTTGCAATTGTCTCTTGAGACTCGGCTTCATCATGTGAAATGGCTGTTTGCATTCGTCCAACGGATATCCCATTTTGGCCAATAGTTCTTGGAGTCGTTGCATTCCCTTTTTGGTCCATACTTGAAACTTGGTGGAAATGTAGTCCGAGTGGACCATGCTTTCTAGAAGACTCGATTGCCGCAACAAAAAGAACCGAAAATCATTTTGCGCAATGATGCGACCATTGTCCGAAAGAGAAATCCGAGTCCGCGATTCATCTCCTTCCAAGGGCGTAGTCCCCAACAAATCTTCGGCATAGACCGTGTTGGAGACTCGTTCGTACATGTCGTTGGGGAATAGACGAAAGATGGATTCTTTCAGGTCCGTAGACAGGGCGGCAAACCCCGTCAAGTCCAATCGAGCGTGCAGATAAGCATCCGTGACCCCCACACAGGCCAACCACAGCAGATCCTTTTCGTCGCCAAACCGCAATTGAGCCGCTAGGCGATAGGCCACGTAGGCCGAAGGACAGCCAAAGAAGGATCCTGAAGAATAGTATTGCCTCAACTTTACGAGACGCTGTTTGTGCAATTCGCGGGGATCCATGAATTCTTCTTCGTGTTGATTGGAAGATTCTTGAGAATTGCGTCGCGAGTCATCTTCGTCCGTTTCGACCGCCGTGGCATCGTCTTCAGTAAGTTTTTGCCGCTTGGAGGTGGAATCGGGAGACGAAGCTGGGTCCATTTCTGGAGCATCATCTCTGGATCGTCGTTTGCTTTTTTCGGGATCGTCCACAGGCGCTGCAGTAGCATCGTCATCATCATTATCATTGTCATGTTCGTCGTCATGATCCGATTCGTTCCCTCCATCATAGGCTGGATCTTGTTGTGGCATTGGTTGGGGTGGTGCATCACCCTCCACATCGTCAAAGCCAGCCTCTTCTTCCCCCTCATCGGCTTGACTATCGTCCATGTCACTATCATCATCTTCATCACTTTCCCCATCGCCTTCGCCTTCTTCACTGGATCCTTCTTCGTCCGAAGTCGACTCGCCTCCACTCAAGTTGTCTCCATCGCTGGGCAATTCCTCCATGTTTGTCGTATCGTCCATGAACACGACAATGTTCTCCCCCGCATAGATATTCGCCAAGTGGACGGGTTTGCGGCAGTCCATGACGTAGACTTTTAAATCTTGCGTCAGTAGTTGGGATTCAAAGAGACGGGTCAAATTCTTGGAGGCTCCAAAATTGAGCATGACAATGGCTTCGACTTCTTCCAAGACGGACTCATTGGTTTTTAAATAAGATTCCAAGGCTTGATAGTTGGTGCAGGGATACAACTGATATGGGATTCCATCACTTCTCAATAGATACGACAAAATGCGGGCCGACGCCATGGCATCAACATCGGCATTGCAAAGCATGAGGACGGAACCATCTTCGTTGCGGCAATCTTGAACAATTTGTTCGTAGCCAAAATGCCAGTGGTTCATTCCCAAGATCATGATGGTTGAATGACGACGTTGTTGCTAGCTTGTCTATGATTGTTTGTGGTTGTTTGTGGTTGTTTGTGGTTGTTTGTGGTTGTTATTACTGTGGCTGTTGTCAGTGTTTCTGTAGCCACAGCGTTGATGAGGTTGTGTGGATGGATGGATGAATGGATGGATGAATGGATGAATCAACGATCGTCTTTGGTGGATGGATTGGGCGGCGTTTTGTTTTGAAAGTTGGCTTTGGACGGACTTTTGGAAAGCAGGAGGGCGCGGTTGTCGATTTTTCTCAATGGCGCGAAGATGAAGTCAATTGAGTCGGTTTCTAAAATATCATCAAACGTAGACCATTCGATCCCATTGACTACAGTCGGCATACGGTCGAAGGCCGTACGGCCTTCGCCAATAGTCATTGCCCTCCTACGATAGAGAGGCAAGGACAGCTCAGTTTATTACAGTGGTTTGATTTTGATACGTCTATTATCAATATCAATTCATGTTTCTTTCCCACCATCACCCACCCTGTTGGGCACCATCGCCTTTCTTCTATGTGGCGATGGTGCCCAGTAGGCAAGCAGGTCTCAGAAATCCTGTTTACGAGATTGGTCTTCCGGGTCCCCCTATTGACCCGGAAGACCCGCTTCACACCACAACCCACCGGTCAGACTCCATGCAGACAGATCCAAGACGAACACCAAGCGGAAGGCGCCAGTAGGCTATCTCAGATACACTCTGTAGTAATCGTGTTTTGAGACTTTTTTAGTTTCTTATATAAAAAAATTGTTTTGACTATAAAAAGCGGGAGACAATTAATGCTGGTGCACTGGTACGGGAGATGAAGTTTTGGACAGTCTTATTGACCAGTTGGACCAACAGAAAACGGCAGAGCAGTCGCCGAGGAAAAACCCTGGATTTGGTGTCAGAGTGTTATGAGCATAACACTGTTACGGAGGAACGAAGTACAGACAGCGTCTGTCATGCGACATAAACACGATCACTACAGAGTGATCTCAGATAGTCCGAGTGATACCACTACCGGCATCCTTGATACCGGTACACGTGTACCTGGTACCTGGTAGCGTGTGAGTGTGAGTGTTAGTCAGTCATTCGATTTATGATGAGTCACGATTTTCCACGTTGGCACTCACCGGGAAAATATTCTAGTAAGTTGTGCATTTTGGCACAAAAACCCTCAGTCTTTCACCGAATCCATCTTTTCTAGAATCATCGGATAGACGAAGATTTCTGATATCGTGTTGTGGTGATAGATAGATAGTTCTAATTTATCGTTCCTTCCATCAGAGCGCTCGCAAACTTCACGTGGTAGCAAAAGCAACAAGCCAGAACAACTCTATCATGGTGATGCCCTCCATATGCGAAAGAATCAACGTGGACATCAACGATCCCACCTTTTGGCCAAACGATGACGACTACGACCTTACTTCTGACGGAGGTCGTGCCCAAAACGAATGGGACAAGTTCAAGAAGGTTGACTCGTTGCTGCAAACCGTGAATGCATACATGGATATCTATCGGAAACTACTGAAATCAGAAGGCAACAGGCTTCGAATCATCGGAAGTTTTCCTGATCCAGCCACGAAACCTCCACCACCAAGACATGAGATTCCCAAAGAATCCAAAAGCAATTGGGCTCATCTATCCACCGACGACAGGATGAAAGTTGTTTTGGAAGCGGGGAACGAAACCTCAAAAGAACTACAGAAGCTTGGAGATGAACTGTCAACCGATTTGCAGGGGATCAAATTCAAGAACGGTCCCTTGAAAGAAAAAGATAGGGCAACGGAAAAGGTAAAAGATGACTACGACGGAGACGTTCTCCGGGTAATCGACCTGGCCCGATGCAGTATATTCCTCGAGTCGAATTCCTTTGAACAAGCGAATGCAGTCGTAGACAGGTTGAAATCCGACATTGGCTTGGCGAAGGAATGGGAAATCGTCCGCATCAAAGATGGATTTGAAAAGGCTGAGAACTATATCTTGGGTGGATACAGAGACATTAAATTGAACATCCGCTACAAGACCAACGGGCACATTGCCGAGCTGCAGTTGCATTTGAAAGAGTACTACGACATCAAAGAAAATGGCGGACACGATGACTACAAGTTTGCGCGTCAGCAGCACATCAGCGGTATCACAAGGGCAACACAACTTCTTGACGGCAATCTACTTTGGCCCGTAATCAAGCTAGCCTGGAAAGAACTCGGTACTGAGCAGGTCGCTGAAAAACGAGCTCGTATTGCCCGCCACTTGGGGGACTTGACAATGATGAAGGGGTTTGTTTGCGCGGACTTCTTCGGTAAGCATTCGCACTTGAAGGGGCATATTCGAAAACAGGTCCTTGAGTTTTATTACGCATCACTGCAAGAGATTCCTGCCCCTGACTGTAACGAAAGTCCCGGGTTGACTGCCCTTCGTATTGAGTTACTCGTCTGGTTCGTTCATGGACAGCACATCCAGGGAGATCCCATTATCGATCAGGTGAAAGCGGATTACCCATATCCATTTCATAATATCGAAGCATATGCAAGTGAACAACTGGGTCCGTTGCACCCAGTGACGCTCCATGTAATGTCGACTATGAATTCCATCAAAAACTCATATTCTTTGCAAAAAGACATCGTCAATGATTTGAAGACTATCCTCGGTAAGAAACACAACGATACAGTGCAAGCTATGGTGAAACTTGGCCAGATTGCATACATAGGAACTTCCGACGAAGAAAAGACTGAGTCTGTCGAAATCATGTTGGACTGCCTTCCAGCACTTATTGAGACTTATGGACTGCAACACGATTTGATAAAGATGTTAGCATACCAATTTGGGGTGTTGATTGTCGCATCCCCATGGCTGGAGGTCGTTCAGTCTGACACAATCAAGGATGCTTTAAGAGAGTTGATCCCAGATGATCCGTCCAAGCTCAATCACAGACTCAAATTTGTTCACCTTTACATATACGGATCGTGGCATCAACATATGAATTTGTGTGTAGATGTGGCACGGACTTTGGTGCGTCCGCAAATCCAAGAAGAGGTTGATTTCGGAATCGCAGCAGCAAGAGGTATCGTGTATTACATGAAACATAATGTTTGGAAGCCCAATGGAGGAGCAGTGTCCCGTGTAGTAACGCATATCAAACCAGGAACATTCGATGAAATCGACGAAATTGTTCAAATGTTTAGAGAGGAAGGCATGATTGGGTAGTTCGTGATCATTTATATAAAAGCGATTCATTCAATAATCCAATAGAAAGGTCATCTGGTTCTTTGATTTCCGTCTAACAGCTGCCATGTACGGATTTGGCTTTAGAAGTTGGTTTTATTGGACAAACTGTGCACGTCATGTGTTGCCATGTGGGTCATTTTTTTCTCTCAACAAATTCGTCGTCACCAAGATGATCGAGTCGCATGGGTCAAGGTAGTGTTGAGTCGCGTCAGTCATTTGTTTCTACATATTGAAGATTTCCAACATATCCATCATACGATAAGCGACACGGAACCCACCCACCGTTTGCTTCCAAAAGAACAGCATTATGGTGTTTGCCGACGAAGTGACCGAGCTTCCTATCTACGTCCACAACGGGTTCTTGATCAAACACATTTTGGACGATCCCGAAGTCGACGACGGATTGGTTTTGATTGGCACCTTCATCCAAAGTGCCTTTGCTGGGCCGTCATCATCGCCGGCGGAGGACGAGGAGTTTCGGCCTCGCCAACCCGAAATTCGATTTACCTATCGCTTTAATGATCAAACGGCAGACGAACGAAGTGGGGCGGTAGACTGGAGGCGGACGGAAAAGCATAGAACCCGTGATTTAGGAGAGTGCCATCGGCATACCTTTCAAATCAAGGCTCCGTTGGAATTGGAAGTGGAATTTAATGCCTTCCCTTTTAAAGTTGTTAGTGCCACTTTGCTGATTGAAATGAGTACTTTTACCACTCCAGATGGTCGGACGCGATTGCGTCCCAACATTTTGTTGCACACCAAAGAAAAGAGAAACATGTGTCAGATTCAAAAAGGATACGCCAGAAAGCCAAAGCCCATCGGCAGGTTTTCCTCCACTTCCATTTTTGCTCCTGCGGAAAACAATCACAAGGAGCTATTTCTACAAGCCAAGGAAAAGATTGACAGATCCTATGTCTATGACTTTGCATCACCCTTTCCTACCATTACCTATTATTACGATACCACGAAACACTATTGTCCCAAATACTCGGTCTCCTTTTTATTGGTGGAAGACGGCATGAAGAAATTCATTGAAATTGTCTTTCCCATGATCCTCATTGCCGCCATGAACCATTTGAATGTCATCAATGCGGTCTGGTCCGTACAAGGACGAACGGACGAAACGGTGGAGGCTGTGGATTACATCAACAACTCGGCAACGCTGGCCTTGGCCGTCGTGGTGTTCTTGCCCACCATGTTTGGGAGGTCGCGGTTTCATGAGGTATTCACGGCCAACAATTGGTACATTACTACCATATTTGTGGCACTCGTGCTTTCCGCCTTGCCCCATTCCATTGCAGGCTCCATATGGCCCGCACGGGTAGGAGCGTATCTATTCTGGGGTTCCTTTTTCTTTCCCATTATCAATGGATTTCGGTTCCTGTACTTTGTGCAGTCCCAACGCAAGTCACTCCGGCCCGAATTTTTCATGGAAGATGCGGTCGGGCGAGTGCACCCACCGTCGCGATTCAAACCGAAACCGGATCGTGATGTTCTGGGAGAGTTTATCCCCATTAAAGACTTGGTGGAATTGAGTGAACTCCGATTGGCGGGAATGGAATACAAACTGGACGAACCGAGGGGTAAGTTCCAAATTGTAGAATATGACAATGCGAGCGAAGAAGTTCGATTCCATAGTGTCAATTAGCTAGGCTAGGTAGGCTAGGCTAGGCTAGCTAGCTACTACTGCTAGCTATCTAGACTGATTGACAGGAAGCAAGGCAGCGAGGAAGCAGTTGGAGTTCAAAGAAAGTTGTATAATAGCGTTAAAATTGTATCATCATGCATCGCTTTCTTGTGGATTTTGGCAATTGGTGGGAACTTGTACTCGCTCAATAATCGTATGGTACCAAGTACCGGGTACCAGGTACACTTTACTTGGTGCTGTCGTGCGATGCGATGAAAATCAAAACTGGTGAGATCGACCCATTCGACCATACTTTGACGTTTTATTGACACTTCTTTGTTGACATCAACCAAAAAGATTCATCGTGCCAATATACAGTACATACCGCATGTTCTCTGCCAACAACCTGATACGCCGGACCCATAGAACCACGATGAGAATTGGGTGCAAGGTTCTCCTTTGCACCATCGCATCTGTGACCGTTCCAGTTCGATCTCTATCGACGGCGTCTTCCTCCAAATATGTTGGGGCACTCGACCAGGGAACCTCCAGCACAAGATTTGTCATCTTTGACCAAAAGGGTGAAGTAGTTTCGAAATACCAAAAGGAACACGTACAGTATTATCCCAAGTCAGGATGGGTAGAACACAAGGCGGAAGAAATCTTTCAAAATTCAGTGGATTGTATCACCAATGCCATGAAGCAAGCCAAATTGAACCCAGAAGATGTGTCGTCGATTGGAATTACCAATCAACGAGAGACGACAGTGGTTTGGGATAAAGTGACAGGAGAGCCTTTGCACAATGCTATTGTTTGGAACTGTGCTCGCACTAGTGGTATTGTCTCCAAATTTCAATCCAAGTGTGGCGGTGTGGACGGACTTCGAGAGAAGACTGGGTAAGATCATGATGTGGTGTGACGAGCACACAATTAGCGATATCATTATTCTAACTTTTACGCATATGTGCAACACACAATGGCATTACAGCCTGCCGATATCTACCTATTTTTCGGCTACGAAACTTTGTTGGTTGATGGAAAATGTCCCTGGATTGAAGAAAAAGGCGGAGGCTGGTGATGTTCTCTTTGGAACCATTGACTGCTACCTGACATGGAGACTGAATGGAGGCACACATCATGTTACGGACATTACCAATGCGGCTAGAACCTTGTTAGTGAATATCAATTCCCTGGAGTGGGACGACTTTCTCTTGGAAACCTTTGACGTGCCTGCTTGCATGTTGCCATCGATTGAACCTTCCATTGGAGGAGAGTTTGGTGTCATCAACCAGTGCCCGGCACTCGATGGAGTTCCCATTGGTGCCATTCTTGGAGATCAGCATGCGGCTACCTTTGGGCAAGCATGTTTCAACGTTGGAGATGCAAAGTGTACCTTTGGAACCGGTGCCTTTATCATGATGAATATGGGATCAGGCAGTCCTGTGGTTTCTAAGCAAGGTCTACTGACGACACCCTTTTATCAAATCAAGGGACAGCCACCAGTGTATGCCCTGGAAGGGGCTGTTGCTGTTGCCGGGAGTCTCATCCAGTGGTTGCGCGACAATTTAGAAATCGGTTCGTCAGCTGAGGAAATTGCCAAATTGGCCGCTTCCGTCAAGGATGCAGAAGGAATCCGCTTTGTTCCAGCCTTCAATGGACTCTTCGCGCCTCATTGGCGAGAAGACGCCAGAGGAACGATTTGTGGATTGACTTTTTACCATACCAAGGCACATCTTGCACGAGCCGCCATTGATGCTGCCTCCTTCCAAACGGCTGAAGTCTTTGATGCCATGAAGGCCGATTCTGGAATTGAACTGTCCGCACTCAAAGTGGATGGTGGAATGACTGCCAACCCGCAACTCTTGGAGTTTCTAGCGGACATTTTGGGAACCAAAGTCCTGATGCCGAAGAATCTGGAGACAACCGCTGCAGGTGTTGCCTTTGCGGCAGGCCTGAGCAGTGGTGTGTGGGACTCCCTCGATCAAGTAGCTGACCTGTGGGTCGAAGCCAAGCAAGTAGACCAGAGCATTGATGATGATGAGAGGTCTAATCTGAAAGCTTCTTGGCGAAAAGCCATCGATCGTTCTTTGGGTTGGGAACAATAGTCCAAGAACGTCAAGAGGCTATCTTTTTTAAATAAAAAAACTCATGTGTGCACTCTTATTGATGTGTTTTGCGATGTCTGACGTCGTGTTGTCGCCATCATGGTTTTGACATGAGCTGTTGGGCTCTCCTTATCAAAGGAAACCGCTCAGAAGTGTCAGTAAGTACCGGCAAGACCTAGATTCGCTCTATGTGTGAGCCTTAAGTGAACAGTGCACGCAAGCTCCACAGACATGATGAAAAAATTCAGACGGACCGCATCCTCTCCGCTTTGAGCCAAGGTACCTGGTACTGTACATGTCAATAACAGCCTGTCGAGAAGTACAAAGAAGGTTCCGTAGCTGCATACCGGTGCTGTAGGCAAAATACTCCTATGACAATGAAGAATAGTAGTCTGAACCCGCTACTGGACTACAAGAATGAGGGCTCAAGCGCCGTTCTTACATCAAAGGCCACCCTGAAGACTTCTGCTTCGCTTGGGCCTAATCAATTCTCCAGTAAAACTGCTCTGCCCCCACCTCTCAAGACTGCAGCTTCCGTTGCCGTCATTGAAGCTTCGAATAGCGGCAGATCCTCCGATAGATCCATTAGCGGCAGGTCTACAAGGTCCAATAGCGGCAGGTCTACGAAAAAGTCGAATAATACTGGATTAGCTGATGCCCTCTCCAATTCAGAAAGAAGACAGCTAAGATCTTTGAAAGACGACCGAACGGGAGAACTGAAACGAACATTATCCCTACAAGAAGATTCTCAGCGCAGGAATCGGAATATTGAGTCCTTGACCATCAACAAGTTACATTACGATGATATTGGAGTATTGGGACGAGACAAAGAATTAGGGGTCCTGAAAGCATGCTTGAAACGGCTGATTCTGTTATCCCAGACGTTTGCGTTCAGTGCTGTTTCGTTTTCCGACTTTACTGAATCCATGGAATTTCATGAAGAGGAGACTAATCATAAAACTTTTAAAGAAATGGTCTGGATTAAGGGGTATTCAGGAGCTGGAAAGTCGACTTTGGTGAGATCCCTCGAAAAGGCTGTCGTCCAAAACCCAAGAGGAATCATGGTGGAAGGAAAATTCGATGTAAAAGGGAGCGATCAACCATATTCTGGGATACTGGAGGCCTTTGGCCAAATATTTCAAAAACTTGCAGGACCATCAAACGATGGCCGAAGCTCTGGTGCGAGAGTCTCAATGCGAAGGTCCTCTGTGACGAGACGACGGTCGGGAGATAGAAAAAAGTTGAAACAAGGAAAGGGGATGAGTCGGAAGGAGATCGAGACAATGCGTCAGGAGATTGCAGATGGGTTGAAAATGGAACTCGGGGATGAACTGCAATTACTTGTCAAAATGATTCCTTTCCTGGACACCGTTGTGAATCGGAAACGGAAAGTCACCGTCAGTTCCTCACAGAAGAGCATCGTGAGTACCGTGGGTACTGATGAGGGCGAAAATTCCGAAAGCAATCACGATGACCTGAATGATGGATACGGAGCGGGACAAGAACGAATAAAATTTGCGTTTCGAATACTGATGCGAGTGGTGAGCTCGTATTTCAGTCCTTTGGTTCTGGTGCTGGATGACTTACAGTGGTCGGATGTAGCCTCATTAGAGGTTATAGACTATCTCATTTCGGACAAACACAACCCGAATGCTATCATGGTTATCGGATTATATCGTTCCAATGAGGTCGATGATACGCATATTCTCACGCATATGAAAAAAGGTTTGAATGAGAAAATGGTCAAATCTCAGTTCCACATGACACATATCGAAGTTGGCAACTTTTTTCCTGCGGATGTGAACAGAGTCATTATGAAAATGCTCGACGTTGATGACCCAAAAATGACGAGGGGTCTTGCCGATATTTGTCATAAGCGAACACTTGGCAATCCATATTTTGTGGTGGAATTCATCACTATGTTGAAAGATGAAGGACTACTCGAATTCAATTTGGGTTTGCTCAAGTGGGTTTGGGATGAAAAAACGATAGAGAGCGCGACTGTATCGACCGACAATGTGGTTGATCTGGTACAAGGGCGTATGATAAAGTTGGAACCAGATCAACTTTTGACATTGCAATATGCAGCTTGTTTGGGAGCCACGTTTGATCGTTCGGCATTGGAATTAATTTGGTCGAAACATTCTGGTATCGACTTCTCAGAGCTGGCAGCAGCGGGCGTCGACGTGTTAGGAGAAATACTAACCTCACTTCAGAACCAGAAGTACATCGAGGAATTGGATGAGTTCAGTTATAGGTGGGTCCATGACAAAGTGCAAGAGGCTGCGTTATCATTGATTGGATCCTCCAAGCCAAAGTTTCAGTTTGAAATTGGATGCATTTTGTACAATAACTTGGAGGAGGACGAGTTGGATGAGTCACTTTTCACCGTTGTTGATTTGATCAACTCCATGGAAGTAAAACGCAGGCCGGATTTTGCGTCTCTGAACTTGCGAGCTGCACAAAAGGCCAAGGGTATTTCAGCCTTTAGTAGTGCTGCATTGTATGTGTCTCATGGAGTGCAGTATCTTCCGACTGACAAATGGAGATGTCATCGAAAGTTGACAGTAAGACTGTACACGATGGGAACCGAGATGGAACTTGCATTTGGAAATGTGGACGTTATGAATGAATACTACCAGGAATTGATGGCGCAAGATGATTGTACCACTTTGGAGAAGCTGCCGTTGTATGTTGCAAAGCTCCACAAGCTTTCGTCGATCGATCTCCAGTATACAGAGTCTATCAATTTCAACCTGGACATTCTGCACCAGTTCGAGTGCGATCTGATATGGAAATGGAACCCACAAACAATTAAGGCACAAGCAATTCAAAAAGTAGTGACGACAAGGAAGATGTTGAAGCAGATATCGAATGAGTTTCATGAAAGACAGCCCATTATGACCGATCCGACAAAAAGGGCAAGTATGCTACTCCTGTCGAAGCTGTTATATTCGTGCTATATCGCAGATCAGCATTGGATTGGAGTACTCTGCGCAACCAAAATGGTCAGGATGACGGTGAAATACGGAGTTCATGACGCTTCTGGTTCAAGTTTTGTTGCTTTCAGCACTTTACTCCGAGAAGTCTATAGGGCTGGAAACGAAGCTGCTTCGCTTGCCGACACGGGTCTGAAGTTGCAAAATCGTGTTGAAAATCATTTCACACTAGCCATGACGCTCTACATTTCTCAGAGTTTTGTGTTTGCTTGGAGAAAGCCTCTGACGACATGCTTGGTGCCATATATGGAAGGCTTCATCGCGGGTATGCGTTCTGGAAACATTGAGTTCGGGCTCTGGTGCCTTGTCAACCATCACATTGTGATTGCTCACCAACTTGGCAAGCCACTTGGGCTGATTCTTGCACGGTGTCCCAACTGCTTGTACCAAATGGAAGACATGAAGCAACAATTACAGGCTTACTTTGTTAAGGTGCAATGGCAGATGATGCTGAATCTGCAGGGAGAAGAAGCAGAAACCACGGAGCTGAAGGGCGAAATATTTGATATGGAATCATTTCCACCCGAGTCCGCCATGCAGAAGAGTTTCACCTACTTTGCCCAACTGGAATTGTTTGTCTACTATGGGGAATACGAGGCTGCAGCAAATCTGGTAATCGAAGAAGGAAATGTGTTTGAGAGTAGTGGTGTTAAAGATTCTTTTGCCCAGACGGAGGCCTTTCATCGAGGTTTGGCATTCTATGCTATGGCACGAAAGACCAAGCAAAGAAAGTACAAACAACGCGCCAACAAAGTCCGGCAAACGATTGAAAAGTGGTGCAAAGACGGGTGTCCCAACGTTGACCATTTTCTTGGACTGTTGAATGCTGAACAAGCTTCCTTGGACAACAAGCACAGAAAAGCAGAAGAACTGTACAAATCTGCCATTATCAAGGCAGCACGTCCAGGATTATCACATGATGCTGCCCTCTTCAGCGAGCGATATGCCGACTTTTTGAGACAGCCTCTTTTGTATTGCCAAGATCTGCAGGATGATGCCAAGTATCGTACCCAGGAAGCAATTCGGTACTACACTGAATGGGGTGCGATGAGAAAAGCTTCCATGCTGCAGAAGAGTGTGAATGATGATTTCCAACCACAGTAATAGATATAGAGACGTATAATATTAAAAAATGTATTATTTGACATGGCTTGTCCTTCTACCATGTAAAAACGTTTGAGATATACACACAGCTAAGCTCTTGTGGGGTGATTGATATCCAAGAAAGTTTTTACACTCGGAATCACAATGTTCGACCCACAGACACTCCGGCACTGTTCTCGGTCGAGCGCCTGCCGCTTGATAGCATCCTTTCTCCGTTCACCCTTGAGCTTCTCTTTCCACAAAGCCATCTCCAATATATACATGGCCCCCATACCTTCGTAACATTCAAAGGCATAATACGCCCTATCGAACAAACTTTCCATGCGATGCCCCGCCATGATAGTTTGTATCTTCCTTTGCATGTCTTCCCTCCAGGATGTAGTACCCCAACGAGCAAGTGGATCGACCATCCATCGCTGCAGCAACATTTGGAACAAAACTTTGGTTGTTCCGGTCCAGTTGGACAGCAAATAATCCAATGGTCGTTTGCCATTTGCGTCTTTGCAGTCCAGGATACCGGTATGGTACGGATACTTGTCTAGCAGGACTTGGAGCAGATCTTGACATGGCTCGGGAGCTGAGAAAAATATGTGGAATGGAGTCATTCCAAACTTATCCACAAGCGATGATTCGTCGTCCTTTGTAGTCCTCTCAGCAAAAGTAGATTGACAAAGTTCTTGGGCCTCTATAGAGGATTGGTCGTAACAAAGTCTATGGAAAGGGCAATTGTCGAAACGGGCTACCAAACCGGCGACGATGCAATCTCCTCCATCACCAAAGCAACGTTTCAATACTTCACAGCTATGAAAAGTGTCCTTTCTCTTACAATCGGTTGGTGACATAAAGGCATTGGACTCTTTTGGGAGCAAAACGTTTGAAAGAGACTTGCAGCGATAAAAGGCTTCTGGTCCAATCTCGATTGGCTGGGAATCCAGTGGTAATATCATTGTAACCAAGGAAGTACAGCGGGAGAATGCTCCAAAACAAATGCGTTCCAATGATTTTGGTAGGCTCACGGTTTGCAAGGCGCGACATTCTTTGAACCCATCTTCTGGAACTTCCGTGATCGACGTTGTGCATAGAATTGCTTCTACCAAGACCTTGCAGTTCTGAAAGGCACCTTTACCTATCACGTTCACAGACGAGGGGATCTTGATTCGTTGCAGTGACAAGCACATAGTGAAAGCGGATGTATTAATCGTCTTTAGTCGAGGTGACGAAGACGACAATGACAAAAGTTCAAACTCTACTTTCTGCAGCTGCCGACAGTACGCGAATGCGTAAATCCCAATAGATTCTACCGTGCAACAAATCTTGATAACAGGTAACATTGAGCACTTGCCAAAAGCATTGCTTTCAATCTTGATCAATCCTTGGGGCAGAATTACCTCTTTCAACATGTCACGCTCATAGCACATTGTGTAAGGCAATATCTCAACGCCTGGATTGACAATTAACTTTCTAACATCTTTTGGCACTCTTTCCCCCTCATTGCCTTCGAATCGGTACTTCATCTTTCAATCTATTACAGTGTGCATTGTTGTTGTGTTGGTCAGTATCATACTGTTGTTTGGTCGTTTCGTGTTCGTTCCTCGGCGGTCCACGATTTTAAAATCGCTGTTGCTCCGACTGAATTCATTCCCTAATTTGAAATTGGTCGCGAATAATAGGCAGTCTCCTTATGGTACCTGGTACTGCATCAGGAACGAAAACTATTTAGCATGCCTTGTATTGTAATAAAGGCTTTGAAAATTTATATACAGCTATGGTCACTATCATTATGCCCGCAAAATTTCAATCATGTGGAGAAGAATCAGCTCGGTCTGGATGATTTCGATCGATTTCCAAGAACAATTTTACACTTGGAACCACAATGTTCGACCCGCAGACACAACGACACTCTTCTCGGTCGAGCGCCTGTCGCTTGGTACCATCCTTGCTCCGTCCATCCTTGAGTTTCCTTTTCCACAAGGCAATCTCCAAGATATACATGGCACCCATTCCTTCGTAACCTTCCAAGGAACCATACGCTTCATTGCACAAATTTGCCTTTTGAACCATGTCCCCTTCCGCAAGAATGGCTTGCACTTTAGTTTGCATGTCATTTCTCCAGGATGTAGCACCCCAACGAACCATAGAATCCACCATCCACTTCTGCAATGATATTCGAAACAAAGACATGCTTATTCCGGTCCAGTTGGACAGCAAATAATCCAAAGGTCGTTTGCCATTTGCGTCTTTGCAGTCCAGAATACCGGTATGGTATGGATAGTAGTTGTCTAGAAGGGCTTGGAGAAGATCTTGACGAGGCTCGTGAGTTGAAAAGAGAACGTGGAATGGAGTCATTCCAAACTGATCAACGAGCGGTGATTCCTCGCCTTGGTCCTCAATAATACAATGGCCGAGTTCTGTGGCTGTGACAGAGGAATGGTCATAACAAAGTTTATGGACAGGAAAACCGTCAAAACGGGCTACCAAACCGTCGACAACGTAACCCATGCCATTTCCAAAGCGATCTTGCAATAATGTACATGAATCAAACGTGTCCCGTTTCCGATAATCGGGTGCTGACATGAATCCGGCAATAGACCTTTGTGGAAGCACAATGTTGGCAAGAGATATGCAGCGGTAGAAGGCTTCCGGTCCAATCTTGATGGGCTTTGAATCCAGTGGTATTACCACTGTAACCAAGCAATCGCATTGACTGAATGCCTCGGTTCGAATATGCTTCAATGTAATTGGTAGGCTTACAGTTTGAAGAGATCGACATCTATAGAACACTTGAGCGGGAACCTCTTTGATGGACGTTGTGGATAGAATTGCTTCTACCAAGGCGGAGCAATTCAAAAAGACACACTCACTAATCTTGTTTACAGAGGAGGGGATATTGATTCTTTGTAGTGACAAGCACTGGAAGAAAGCAAGTTGGTCAATTTTTTCTAGCCGATCGTGGCGATGGGAAGAAGATGGCAATCCAAACTCGACTTTTGTCAGCTTCCTACATTCCTGAAATGCAAACCTCCCAATGTATTCTACCCTGCTGCAAATTTTGATTTCTAACAGACTTGTGCAGCATAAAAAAACACTTTCTTCAATCTGAATCAATCCTTCAGGCAGAGTCACTTCTCGCAAATGCCTCCTTTCCGAGCACAACCTCACCGGCAAAACCTGAATGCCTGGCTTGACAATAAGTTTTTGTACACTTTTGGGTATTTTTTCTCCCTCGTTGCCATCATATCGGTACTCATTTGCCTCCTCCATCTTGCAGCAGGTATTTGAACTGCTACCCCGATTCTGAATTGTTGTCACTCACATCACATATATTCGAATATAAAAACATTCTGAAAGCTTTTTGCGACTAAGTAATCTCCCAGCGCAAATCCTGGCTGACGTCAGCTGACACCTGGCTACAGGATGATAGTCCAATTTCTAACTTGAAGATCATCGTTCCTACCGTACCAGGTACCAGGTACCAGGTACTGTACACTACCTACCAGTGATCGGTAAGTTTCTGCTACAGAATTTTGTGGCTTGCTCGTATTTTTGTCACAACCTTCTTTGACCGCGCGTGCGATAAAAAATGAACCAACCAACTGCTTTTTACGTCATCATTCTTCCACCTGTTGCCTCCGGAATCTCTGAATTTTTGGTGTTCAAGCAGAAATCTGGTGTCACCATACAACAAATATAAGAGAACATCTCCTAAACAGTTGTCAATCGTATCTTCCTTCTATAGAAAGATTGCAACAGCGGGCTGTTTGATTTTGACCTGAGCCTGCAAATAGCTTGAATTCAGCCAGTCTTCCTTTGCAGCAACACTTTTTAAACACAACACATTGCAATGATGATGATCAAATCGCTGCAGCATCTCTTCTTGGCAATCTCCTCTCTGCTGTTGTTGTTGAGTGCAAACGCTCTTGTGCCCAACGACTGTCTCTCTTGCAGAGGATCCAATACTGCTGCTGCTGCTGCTGCTACTGCTTTTCGAGCAAGGTCACCATTTACTAGTTTGCCTTCTTGGAAGCAACCACAAACAAGATCACTTTCAAAGCATTCTTCCTTGGTCGTGCTGCTCTCGGCAACCGCAGTCGATGACAGTTTGGTAGAAAGCAAACAAAAGACGCAACCACCCTCGCTTCCACCTAATGATGACAACGATGGCGAACTCGATTTGTCCAGTCGCATCATCAACTTTGTCTTTTTGGCACTGGCCTTTGGGTACGCGGCCTATACCATTTTGAATATTGACAATGGCATGACCCGGGGCTGGACCACGGGGGAAATTGCCATGCGGATTCCCTTGGACAATTGGGGAGCCTACGAAGATTACTTGGCCAACAAACCCATTTTTACCAAGACGCTGATCAATGTGATCATTTACTTGCTGGGAGATTGGTTGAGTCAGACGGCCTTTCAGGGAAAGAATGTTTTGGATTTTGATATTTCTCGGACACTCCGCAATGGCTTTATTGGGCTTTGCTTTGGACCATTGGTCCACGAATATTATCAATTCAGTGATACCATTTTGCCACCCGAAAATGGTTTTGTTACCCGATTGGAAAAGATTTTTATGGATCAAACCATTTACTTGACCGTCAAGTGCAGCATTTACATTAGTGCTGTGGGACTCTTGGGTGGGGATGACTTGGCAACTGTCAAGCAGACTGTTCAAGATAAGATTGGTGGAGTAGTAGTGACGGCATGGAAATTTTGGCCATTGGTCCATTGCATTACCTATGGATTGATTCCGGCCCGTCATCGCATTCTTTGGGTCAACTCGGTGGATTTGGTATGGAATGCTATTTTGGCTTCCAAAGCGCAAAAGACTGATGAGGATGAGGATGGTTCGGAGGAAGGAGGAGAAGGCGAAGCATCATCATTAGTCCTGGACGCAGTAGCGGTGGAGATTGAAAATGATGAACAAGAACCAGCACAGGCTCACAACAGTCTCAAGGGAGCAGGCGATGAGGTTCCATCTCTGATTCTAGAGAACAATAACAAGCTATCATTAGTCGAAGAAGAGTCGTCATCGGAACACAATACTGTCGCGGCCGAAGTAATGGAGTTGAATGGAACCATGGTGTCGGGATCCAATTCCACAGAAAAGGGGGTGCTAGTAGCACCTTGAGTTTCTAGAAGGATGACACGAACTTATTGTACATATACGGTACATACAAGAACACAGCGGTACTGTACCAACCATTGTGGCGTTTTTTTTCAGACGCTGCCTGGTCCGAAAAGCAGAAGCACACACAATACGCCCTTTTTTTCATCACTACATGGCTGGACCACCGGCAATGCAGCAACCAATCAATCACTTGATAAAACACAATGTAAATTAGACTTGTCTATATTCCATTCTTTCTTCCACAACGTTTTACTAAGTACCTTTCTTTTCCATTTCTGTTAGATTAGTTTTCTTTTGACTAACAGTAGCATCATATAGAGCCAACGGTTCGAGTACTCGTTATTCAGACAGTTGAAAATCTGTCCTTGCATATTGCTACAGTAGGACATCTCAAAATTCCAAACAGTGGTTGCTCTATTCTGTGTCCCTTCGCTGTATTACAGTAGCATGTTGGAATAGAGTAGAGTAGCAAGTGCTTCCTGAAGCCTTCGATTTTTCAGCTGATCGATCTGTTGGAATCTCTGCAAATCCATCATGATGCATGTATATAGATTTCATATCTTGTATAATATATTATCGAACCCCTTGTGGCTGACAGGAATACCGTAGCATTCGGAAATTTGAGAGATACATTATTTCTGAATCAGAACAGCAAGGACAAGACTGATCAAGGATACAAGTGAGCAAGCGCTGGTGATCTGAAAGGTAGGAATCCAACTGCTCAGAATGGAATGATCAATCGAAGCAACATAACCATTGAACAAGGCCAACAATCCAAATCCGCCAATGTCAAAGACATCGGCAATCGTTGCCGATGATACCTTGCCCCCCTTACTCAAGGCATATAAGGAAGGGGGGATGTAAAAGGGTATGGAAAAGGCAAACCCCCACAAGAATAGAGACAAGGCACTGATGGTGGCTGTCATTGTCCAAATACCAGAGACATGGGCCAATTGGGCCAAGGAACTCAGGGTTGCCAATCCCAAGAGGAGACCATTGGCCAGTGCTTGTTTATTTTTGGGCAACTTGGAATATTTTTGGGATCCTCCTGACACCGCCAAAAGACATCCCAAGGCATAAATGGAACCCGTTTGGGAGGCAAATCCACTGGAAGCTTGGTAAACTTGATTCATGAGCATGGGAACAAAGAGCAAAAAGGAAGCAAAGACCATGAGACAGGATCGGGATACCAAGTGGAGCCAAAACTCGAGTGTCTTGGTTTCCTTGGCCAGGATTGCCAGTGATGACTTTCTATAGCTCTTGCTGTGGTTGTTGCTCTTCGTATCACCAGAATCTGATGTTGATGCTGCTGTTGATTTCGCGTCCTCTGCTTCGTGTGCTTCTTCATTTCCTTTCCTCAGTGTGATTCGACCAAAGTAGGTCAGCAACGACAAGGGAATAATCTGCACCAAGGCCGAGGCTCCAAAGACCACACGCCAGGGTTGTTTCATTTTCGTTTCCAGCGCGTATAAGACACTCGCAAAGATGGCAAAGGCAAAGGCATTACCTGTTCTGGCACCCACTGCCAGCATACCAATTTGTTTCCCCCATTGTTCGTTGGGAAAGGATTGATGAATCGCGTTGATGCAGCCTGCCCAACAGGAACTGAAAATAAAGTCGACGAAAATCCAGCAAATGGCAAACATGTTGAAGCTTTGGGTCCCCAAGGATATTGTGGTCAACAATCCAACCAAGGCAGCCATTGCAATTTGCAAGGCTCGAATCCCTCCTAGCGCATCAATGACGGGTCCTAGTAGCACTTTCCCCATGGCCACTGCAATAGTCGATAGGCCCAATAGCTTCGCCATGGAAGATTGAGGCGAAGAGGATGACATAGGAAAGGATAGACCCTTGTTGGGCGAGGTCAACAATGGCAAGACCGCCGGAAGGGCACACTTGGCGCCCATTACAGCAAAGTAGGTGGACGCTAGCGCAGCAGTCATTCCTCGTTGACGCCATTTTTCGGCATTGGAAATGTTATGGTTGTCGTCAAGTAGGCTGTCGTCGGCAGGAGACGACGACGATGATGCTCTCAAAGGACGCAAAGCTCCTCCTCGAATATGTTGACAAGGTATTTTGCTGGGATTGGACAAATTTTCTCTTCCCAAGACTATTCTCCCTCTCCGTTTGCTTTTATGTCGCAAGGGAGACTCTTGATGTTCATTCAATTGTTGATGTGGTCGATCAAATTGTGAGCTGGAAACAGCTGACGAGGAAATCATCATGGCAGCATCTGCTGGACAAAAGCCATGGCAGAATGAGGATGAATCTGACAACGCCAGCGCCGCAAGTAGCAATTTGCGTCGCTGTAATCTGTGCTGTATTGATTCGTTCATTGCAGTTTCGATCTCGTTTGTGAATAGAATAGTAGTGTTCCAATAATGGCAGCACTGGAGGGCTGACTCCAAACAGATGAAGATGGAAAATCTTGAACAGGGATGACGTCATCAACACACCCTTAATTATATCCCCTTACGTTCTCCCCTTTTGTTTGATGGCCACCCAATTCCACGTGTTCCCAGTTGAAACACGTGGAATTCCTACGGTACGTACCAAAATCCATTCGTCGGAATGAACGAATCTGCAGTCGACGTTGCAAACATCATAATCATAATCGACTCTACTCGTTCACAGTGTTGGCCATCTATCACCACACTTTCACCGTTATTCATTCCCCACAAAGATCCCCTCTCTTTCTTCTACATGAATCTTTGGTGAATCGTTTCTCTGTACCTTTCATTCCAAGCGAAATTTTAAGGGATTTGTTTCAGAGGTGCCAATCAAGAACATTCGACTTTTGACGCACGTGTCTTGTATTTTCTCCCTTCTTTCTTCTTCAAACTTCTATTCAGTCCAAGTCACACGCAGCATACAGAAAATGATCACCCGATCGACAATACGGGCGAATGGTTGCAGGCTGTGTTTCTACTGGAGCCTGTGTACTTTTATAATATTGCTGTCATCACTGCAGTCATCCACTGCCATATTCAATCCCATGTACAATCCCTTGCAGCAACATCAGTCATATTACCCTTCCAACCCCGACGAATATGCCAATGGATATTATGGTCAAAGCAGCCAGCAACAGTGCAATGATGCAGATTCATTACGTGGCGGTAGTACAATGACAATTCCTGAACCAGAAACAATGAACACGCTACCAGAACAACAACAACAACAAGAGCCCTTCCATCCGCCGAAAATACTGTTAAAGCACATGTCATTGGCCTTGCGAGTCACCTGCGAATGGAATCGTCGATTACTAGCTGGCGTGAACCGAAGCTTCAAGCTCTTTAACCTGAAGAATAGGATACGCAACGATGCACCAAATGAACCTCAACAACAACAACCACCATCACCAGCAGAAGAGCAGCTAGTATCAAACCCAAATCAATACTACGATCAACAAGAATTACAGGCTCAACCATATGGAAGCCGTCCGGTCAATATTCATCCCGATAGAACCTGGAATCCACCAATTCGGGAAGGGGGTCCCGATCTGGAACAGGAAAGTCTGACTATTTTTCATGCCCTGACACCAGCCACACGGAATGAGGAAACTGCATCCGATGACGATTCGGTCGAAGATTCCACCAATACATCGGGAGGAGAAGAATCATCATCACCAACCGATACTACTTCAGCATCATCCAATCAAGTAGTAGCGAAACCTCGAGGCGTTGCTCATTGGGGACCTGAATTGTTGCCTTACCTGGAAGAAGTTACGGAACTCTTGCAGATTGACAACAATGGTTTGGAAATTGCCTTGGCCATGATTTATTTGGATCGGGCCTGTTCGGTTAATACCATTCGGAGCAACGGATGTCCACCCTGTCCCTTTTGTTTGCCACGCACTGTCCATCGATTAAGTTTGGTGGCTCTAGTGTTGGCGAAACAAGCTGTGAATGGAAACAATGGTGGAAAGACGGTGCAAGAGTACTTGGAAGATTTGAAACCCTTGGGTATGCCGTTGGATCAATTGGAGCTAATGGCAAATTGGATGATCAATGCCTTGGGAGACAATGGTTCCTTTGTAACAGTCGGTCAAATGAAACTCTGGAGTGAGAATTGGGAATCTGCATTTTTTCCAAAGCGCCATCGAGCTCTGCAAGAACAACGGCAAAAGGAAGCCCAACAACGTCTACTTCAATTGGAACAGCAGCGATTGATGGAAGAACAAAGACAGCAAATACAACAAAAGCAGCAGCAACAACGATACCAACAAAGTTACGACCAACAGCAAGAAGCGTACAACCAAGGGTACCAGCAACCACAACAGGACTACTAATTACAGCCATCGTCTCCTCTTACTGATGAATCATGGCCGTTCAAGTCACACTCAAGGCTAGCGCACATCCTGGCCACCACGTTAATAACAAGGGTAGCCGTCTGTCGACTTCTAACAACATAGAAATTGGAATCGAGAAAACGAAAACGAAAACCAATACAACACTACTATCATAAATTAGAGAAACATTAAACAATTGATTTTGTTCCCCCACAACCCCTATTTCATGTCGAATGGATGAATTATGGTTGAAGCCAGAATCAAGGTGCAGCAGTAAGAGGAGTGTAGGCTAGTCGTCCTAGCTAGTAGTAGTGTAGTCACGATGTACATAGTACCACCAGTTCTTAGGCATTTGAATTGTTGGTTTCTCTTATCTGTCACACTTACCCTTCTGGCTTAACCGGCGAAAAACCTTTTCCAACCGCACTCAACACTAGAAAAGTAAAAGCTCTCGTAGGTTGTCCTCAATCGGCAAACTGTGGGCTCGGAGTGGCATACTCACAAATTATGGCCGCGTATCAGGGTAGGGGCCAGATAAAGGGGGTGCACCAACGCGAAACTTGGCGGTTTCAAATCGTTCGTTCAACTGAACATTGGCCGAGCACGCGCGCGTAAGCACCATCCGTGAAAAAGCAAGAGAAGCTCCGAAGGCAAACCATGGACACTTTTGCCTCACATTGCTCCACATTGCTCCTCTTGATTGACTTGTAGTCCAAGAACGAGACATTAACTGGCGCGACGTTTTGAAGTAAATTCTTCGATCTATTGCCCTGTTGAATTGTTGAAAGCTTTCCAGCCTTCCTTTACCATTTATACCTTTTCTTGGAAGACAAGTTTCAGTTTCTGAAACGTTCATTTGAAACCTACACAAACACTCGAAATACCGTTGGAATACCAAACGAATACCTATCCGTGAGTTTACAAAAGCATTCTAGCATTATACGTCTGGTGGTTTGATCTAAGAGGCCTTTTTGGGCTAGTTGGAAACATGTCACATCAACTCCACGATTGATGGGAGTTCCTCCGTTGATTTCCCACGATTGGGTCCACGAAGGCCCAGTTGCTTACGAATCATTGCACTAATCGCCTTTCTCTCTTGCAAACATAGACTACTACCCCTTATAGATAAGATGGCTTCAGTGAATGCTCCGAATATGCATTCCTTTCCTCCCCAACACCTGATGGAGCTAAACAACGACTTTCTTCTGAATCAAATCAAGAACCAAGTCGAGTTTTACTTTGCACCCCAAAATTTGCAGAACGACAAGTTCTTGCAGTCTCAACTCAATGCTACTGATCACTTGGGAGCGGTTTCCATTCAGGTCATTTGCAGCTTTCGGAAAATCAGGCAGTTGTACTTGTATTCGAGGAGTGGGTACTATCCGCACGATGCAGATATGCCAGCAGACCCGGCGCTTCTCCGTATGGCTCTCGCCAGTAGTTCCGTTGTCAGCATTAGTCATGATGGGATGTGGGTGGTTCCTAATCTGCAAAAGGACCCACAAAAGGACGCGGCCACGGAAGCGACAGTCGCCTCGGTTCCATCCTCACCATCGTCTTCACAGGACGGGTCTGCTCAGCAGGACCGCTTTGCGATTGTCATTCACAACATCGCCAACACGGTTACAGAGGCAATGGTCTTGGAGGCCTTTGCAAAGTTTAACCCCAAAGGAGCGAGATCAGAGGCAGGAGATACATGGCATGTTACATTTGGAAGCTCGGAAGATGCAACAGCATCTCTAGAGGAAGGAATCAAACTCGATGATAAACCCATTCAGGGTTCGCTCAAGATTGACGTGTCAAACGTGCCTTCAATGCCATTACCACCACCAGCGCAACAAACACCCGGAATGGGATACCAAGGGCAATATCCAATGCATCCGCCTCCACAGTACAGCTATGTACCGGTTCATTATGGAATGCCGCAGATGGTACCGCAGTATCCAATGCATCCGCAATATTATCCACAGCCACAATACCGATATTTTGCACCCCCAGGTCAGCAACGACAAGGTGGTCCGCCGCCACAGAATGTCTTTGTCCGACCTGCAAATGATAACAATCGAGGGATGCGACGAAGGAATCAAGGAGGCAAGCGACGAAATCGTCAGCAACGACAGCAGCAGCCAGAAGACAAGCCTATTCGAAAGGACACGAACAAAAATAAGAAGAATCAGGAAAAGAAGGAAGATGTTAAGGACTTGGATTTGTCACAAGAACACTTTCCTTCACTAGGTGGTGGGAAGGAAACTTTGAAGCCAAAGTCTACAAATATTGAAGGGGCAGCGTATGCAAAGGCTGTATTAAAAGCAGCAACCTCACAGAAACAGCAGCCAGTCAAGGAGGGGACGGAAAAGAAGAAGACGAAAGAGACAAAATAGAAATAACAAGAGAGATCTTGTACGCTCGATTTTGTTTGTCTGCTATAATAGGATCTGTAGAATTTAAATACAACATAACAAAATTGAGTACATAAAATACTCTTTGACATGGTCTTGTACCGGTACTGTAGATTATGTCTGTTTGTGACAGCAGCAACTTGGGAAAGGGTTTAAATCGTATCCCATACATAGTGAAGGACAGCACTGTCATTCGGGTCGGTGTTCTCTCGACCTGTAGAGTTTCGTCTTACCAGATTGAGCAATGAGTAATGCGTACAAATGGTTCATAGCGCAATGTATCTTCATTTTCTTATTTTACGAAAGCTTCTGCAGTGTTTTATTAACAATTTCTATCTCTTTTTGGTTCGCAATGAAAAGCGTTCTCCATGCCTGCCAACTGCTGCTACTGCTTCTCTCTTGAGGATTTGCCTTTTGCCTTTTTGGCTGGCAATTAAAGCTCCATCTCTTTTGAGAGTCGTCTTTTGGGTCTGGATTTGGAGGAGGTTCTCTTCAACTTATCTCTCATGGAAATTCGCTTTGGTTTGGGTTGAGGTGACATTGGATCGTCACCAATGTCCAAATGGGCAATGTCGTCCAGCACATTTGCCTTAAATTCCTTGCTCTCCAGGTTGGATATCAAACTAACACGGGCTTTGGCCGAAAAGTCACCAAAGACTCCGGGGGATTTGGGGTTGTCACCAAAGGTATCATTCAGGTTGCCGACGCTAGCAAACTCTTGCGATCCGATATTTGCAAACAGATCTTCATCTCCAAACGCGTTTTCTTGATTTGAAAAAGGATCAAACCCAGCGACGTTTGCTGGACTTTCATTGCTATTCCTAGAAGCATCGTACCACCTTCGATGTTGGTACTTTTGGTAGATGAACTCACTTCGTGGTTCCAAATCGGTATTTTTGTCTGGTTTGTTGGTCTTATCTTTCAGAGTGGCTTCAAAAAAGGCATTGACCGCTTTGTTGCCACCTCGTTGCATCGCATTAATTTCCTTTACTTTCCCTGGTAATGTAGTATGACAAGTTGAAAGAGACGCAACGCAACGCAATGCAATGCGGTCAGTTGTTGGATCCGATTAAAATGTTCCGGGTATCCAGTCTTTCGATGTCATCACTTACATTCGTCTAAATTTGTACTTCGGACGAAGCAGATGTGGGTACCCATTCGTCGATGAGCTCCACTGCAATGGTAACACATGAAACAACCCATGGGTTCGGTAAAGGGAGCCCCTGGTGGTGGGACCAATATGGATGCCCAAGTCGGCCTCTTGTCGAAACAATCCACACAATGGGAATTGTCAGGCTCATTCATGAGCTGCTTCAGTAGCTGTTTCAGCTGCTTTTGGGAAGTCATGATGATATCTTATATATAGGCCGAAATTTGGAGTCTCTTTGAGAGTCAAAGACGTAACACCAATGGATAGTTGCAATGATGGATGTTGATCGTTGATAGATGTGAAAATTAGTGCAATCCCGTTCTGTGGCTTCAAAAGGTTCGGTCATTTTATGGTGCTCGCGGGGTACTTATTGCTCGCGCAAGTTGAACTTGTTTTCTGAAACTCGTGTGTCGGCATCGAATGATTTTTAGATTCCTCACCCATTCGATCGGAGGAGTCAGTCATATCAGTCGATCTCTGGCCACGTGTTGGTCGGATGAGTCGATCATCCGACGACAAAATCCTCAACTTTTGAGATTTTGGACGAGGACGCTGAGCTGGAAATCACTAGATGTTTCCATCATTGCAAATCCAATGATCTATCAGAATGATGCTGGCAAGAAATCGAAGTATAGCGAGGCTTCAGAATACAAGGGTAATTAGAAGGAAAGATGTCACAGAGTGCGATGCGAGGACGTTTTCGTCGCTCTATCAGGTACATTCAATGAACGGCTCACATCAACCCACGCATTTGAATCACATGGCAACGGCATTATCATCGAATCCACTATGCAATCCTCGCCTACGGTCCCGGAACGCCATTGACGTACAAAACGTTCATCCTTGTTCCACTCAAGTTCGATCCGTTTCGTCTTGGCTTCCACAAGTCCTTCAAGACTTTTCCATTTGGGGTGGCACTGGGACCGTCCTCAAGGCACTCCACGGACCCGATGGCACCATACCGTACTGGGCTTGTTTTGCCATTATGAATGCCATGCTTCGGACTGCTTTGGTTCCTTTGGTGGTCTACAGTGCCAAAATGTCTTCACGCTTTGCCAAGGTTGCTCCTGAAATCCAGTTCATCGTCACTCTCTTTCAGAACGATTTGAAGAAAATGCGGGCCGAAGGAAAATCGTTGTATGAACAACGGTTTCTATTCTTGCAAAATCTGCAGACGATTCAAGGAGTATATAGACTGCACAATATCAATCCCTTAATGGTCTTCATCAGTCCTTTGATTCAGATTCCGTTTTTCTACTATGCGGCCACCGACTTGCGCAAGATTGTCAATGGTGCCGACCCCGAACTGGCGCAAGAATTGACCGAGTCCTCCTTTTACTGGGTACCTGATTTGATTGATCCCGATCCTTGGTTTGGTTTGCCCATTGCAGCGGGAGTCATGTTGTATGCCAACGTCGAAGTTGCTGTAGGCAAGCGCAGTTTGAGTGGACCAACGGCTTCCAAGTCGGACTTTGCCGGTTTGCTAAAGGATGGTTTTCAGACGCTTGCCGTATTCATGCCGTGCTTGTCAGCACAGTCTCCAGCTGGCTTGCAAATTTATTTGGTATCGAGTTTCACCTTTACCATGTTTCAGAGTGCGGCGTTGCGAAATGATACCATTCGAGGAATGATTGGATTGCCCGTCATGGGTTCCGCACCTACGGAACCAAAGTACGCCAAGGAGTTTATGGAATTCAAAAAGTTGGAACAAAAGGCTCGGGAAATTCGAGGTGATGGCCCCGTTCTCGGAAGGAATGTCTTGGCCGTGGGCTTTGAAACCTCTTTTCCAGGAACCGCCCGACCGAGTACCATAGAAACACATGGACTGCTTCCTCCCGACATTGAACCTGCCAAGCTTCCTGGGAAACCCAAACTAGACATGAAATCCGCCCAAGAAGCCTGGGGTGGGCAATTCATCCACGGCATTTCGGCTCCCGTGGAACAGTTGGAAGCCCAATTGGCCGAAGAAGCCAAGGAACAACAATCGAAAGAAATTGCCGAACAAAAGATGGAAGAAGAAAAGAAGAACTATATGCTCCAAGCATCGGATGATGTTATGGAAGCAGCCAACAAGGGGGTCATCATGGCTCCCAAGGAATTATTGTCCGATACCAAACCTTCTGACAACAAGGGACCGTCCAAGATCAAACCCAAGCAAATCAAGAAGAGTCCAAAGGGTGGCAAGAGAAATAGACGGAAAAGTTAAAGCAAGTGTAAACAATGAGTTCAATCCATCGGCCGGATATGTGCAACAGTTTTCTTCCAAAGCAAGTTAGACATTTGGTGACATCAATGTTCACAAAATAATATTGTACTGTGTACTAGTCTACTGGCTATTATACTTGGACAAATTACATTTTTAAATTAGTTTAGAATTCATCTCCAGACAAATGTTCTGTCTCTTGAACCTTCTTGACGAATTCTTCCTTTTCGACACATCCCTTGCATTCGACTCCTCGCTCCGACAAGATGGCCTTGAGTTGCTTGACACGCAATTTGGAAATGTCCTTCTTTTCCATCTTTTCCGTCTTGACAGGGAACTTGACGGTACAAATTTCGGGGTTGGACTTGGTAATACGCTTGCAGACCTTCAAGGAGGGCATGCCTAGAGAAAATGGTTGGGCAACGTCTCTCTTGATGGGGTCAATGTAGTAACAAATCTTCTTTTCGCGAGCCGAAAGCTTGTCCTCATCGGCACAGTAGTCTCCCATGGCCTTCTCCACAAGGGGCTTTTTGCGGGAGTCCTCCTTGGAAATGCTGGCGCGAATGTCGTCCATGACCTTGACACAGACTGTAATGTTGAGGCAAGAAGAAATTAATTGGGTCAGAGAAGATAAATATTGATTGTGCACACGCAACCGCATAATGCATAATGGTTATGCCATTGGAGAAAAAGCCAAAGAGAAGGCGTACTCAAGGTTTCAAAATGCATATCATTGCAGCTCATACAGTAGTTAAGGGAATAATCATCAATTCGAATGCATCAGCAGTCGAAGTTGTTGTGTGATGATGATGATGATGATGCCATCGCAGCCATGTCTCCGCGAATTGAAACGAGACTAAAACGAAACAATAACGTTCAATCATTTGATGAATGGAGGAACACACCTTCACACTCTTTGACTTCTGCAGCCATGGCAACAGTGGCGGTGTATGCCAAAGCGAGCAAGAAAGCAACGAACTTCATTTTGGAATCTATTGGTTTTTGTTTTTGTTTTTGTTTTGAATGAGAGGCAGAGTCCAATGACTTTTTTCGTTGTTTGGTCGATGATGGGAAACCCGTCGCGTTGGAGGTCACCTTTGGTCCATCGATTCGTCAATTTTTGGAAATCGATCGATTGATTCATTCGTTTCCTTCCACGTGGCATTTCACCACAGTTTCTACGTGTAAACTTCATGATACGATGTACCTACATGCTTCACGAATGAATAACCCGTGACTAAACTCCACGTAACAATTGTAACCGCCTTGCATCTGTCCTCAGAAAATGTTCCCATCGAATCTGTTCTTTTCTTTTTACAAGTGGCAGTAACAGATAACACCCATATACTGTAGTACTTCCAAACAAAAGAGCTTTGGAAGAAAGACAGGCGTATATTAGAATAGAGAGAGAGAGAGAGAGAAAAAGGTTTGACTGCAATCTGAAAGACCAAAAATCATAAAGTGCCGTTCAATTCTTTCGCATACACAAAACGCCTCACATTATGCGGCAACGGATACACGTTTCATGCCTCCTGGCTCCAATCGCGCTCTTGGCTCTCCATTGTTTCAATATTGGGCTTCCGCCAGCTGATGCATTGCGTCAAAATGCTCAGTTTGGAGTGGAACGTCGGCCTTGGATGATTCAGACTCGAGGAGGAGCTGAAGAGGAATCATCGACCGAAACCAAGACGGATCACAACGCGACTGTGGAAGAATATGTCGCGGCCATGAAAGAAAAGGATGGACAAGCTCGAATGGAAGCAGCCAGTCAAAAGAAGGAAGCATCACCAGGAAATGAGAAAGCAACGGAATCGGCAAAGACGGACACATCATCACCGGAAGAGACTTCGTCGTCGTCCTCCTCAGATTCAGCGGTTTCGGCCGGTGTCGGTCTGAAATCACCATCTTCCCATCGCAAATCCAATGCCGTAGGAGATCCCGATGGAGATGACGACGATGATGACGATGATTCGGAAACTGATTTTTCGGATTTTAGTGAGGAATGGGAAGAATCAGTCGAGTTGAATGGCCGCGATTATGATCATGACGACATGATGAAACCTCAGGTACAATTTGAAGTGGTCAGTGAAGAAGAAGGACAAGACGAAACTATTGATTTGGAATTGGAGGACGACGACGACGATGAGGACGAAATTGATTTGGACAATGGATCGCAAGGTGGGGGTGTTCGCGTTCGCTTGGGACGGATTCACAATCGACGCAAGAATCGCAAGGACAAACAACTCAAGGAAGAGGAGTCGCCCGAAGCCCTTCCCAAACCGGACAAAGACCACGGACTAGTGTTGGAAGCGTGGATGCCCCACGTTTATTTTCCACCAACGACTGCAGCGTTATCCTATCTATCGGAAAATGCCCGCCTCTTGGATGCTTCGTCCAAGAATCGATTGGACCGACGAACCATGTACGCGGCCTTGCTCTTGGAATGGGGATCCACCACGTCCAAAGTGTCGAGTCGAACTCGCAGATATCTTAGTGCATCTTCTTCGCAACTACTTCAAGCGGCGCTATCCATGGCAACTCAACCACAATGGAGACAATCGGCACCTCGAACTAGTGGCATTCGGTTGTATCAAGATGAAGAGACGACGGCCAAAATGTCCACCTTGGGAATGCAAGAAACAATGGCAATGGCACTGGTAAGTTCCATGTGAATTAGAGCTATGTATTTGTCGAAAGGTTGCGTGCAAAGCTAACTCATTGCTCTTCTCTCTCGCTTGCTTTTGGAATTATTTTGCAGGCGCACTCTATGGGATGCGGAATGTTGATTTTGGACGACCAAATTCTCAACAAGGTTCGCCAACACATGATTCGCAACGGGTTCTCCGATGATGCCGTCAAACCAGCCGTCTTGCTCCAATCTTTGTTGAATATGGCGACGGAAGGCAAACTGAAAACCGCAAAGGGTATGGCAACTGGATCTATTTCGTCTTGTATGAAGCGCGACATTGGACTGGGTTTGGATGATCCCTACGATGAACGGGCATTCAACAGTTTGGAAGATATGCGAAAGTGGGAGGAAATATGGGTGCGAACAGAAAAAGATGAGCAGGATGCAAAGGTCCAAAGCCAAAGCAGCGTGGTACTGGAAGGTGGCGACAAAAAATCAGAGGAGTGTGATGATGACAACTCTGATCCCATGCCACTTCTAGTCTTTATTCGAACGGGTGCCTCCAACTCCCTACTCAAGAGCAAATCTGCCATGGAATTACTCATCAAAGAATGTACATCGCCAGACAGCATTCACTTGATTACCTTGGGCAAGGGTATTGATGCTTCCACAACAACTCTCCCTAAGGAAGAAGAACCCATGCCTGAAACTTCCATGGATTTTGACAGTGCTGGTAACAACATGAATATGAACCAAAACAGCAACATGCACATGGGTCTTCCAGGACAACCACCCTTTCATGGATTCTCGAACCAAAATCAGAATGCATCTGGTCAATTCGATCCTGAAGGATCCAGGCGATTCAACTTTTTCTTGGCTCGTACCATTGATCAAAATGGCCAACCTGGACTACTTGGAGCCATCGCTCCACCTCAAGCCGGTAACATGTTCCCACACATGATGGCCATGCAGGCACGTGAGCGACTCCAAGCTCAGGATCCCGACTCACCTGCCAAGGCAGAATTGGAACGATGGGCCGAAATGCTTCAAAGCAATATGGAGGCAGGTGATGTCCCACCTCCTCAATTCTTCAACGCTACTCTCGCAGAGCCTGGCCCTAACCAGGGAGGCAAGAATCCTCCACCACCTCCACCAGAAGTCATTGAGCAGACGCTACAGGCTGCCATGACCGAACTGATTGATAGGTTTGCACAAATGGCCGAAGATGACGAACCAGCAGTCCCTGGAAAAGAGCTGTCGCCGGACTTGTACAAGGCCTTTGGTCAAGTTGTCCGCAACAACAGTCTTCGAAAGGGAATTGCCGAGAACTTGAACTCGGCCGCCCGTGCCCTTTCGGACCCGAAATGCCAAGGAGTCATGTTGAGCGTCTATGTTCCTCCCCCAAACCAACAAATCTCTGGAACCTTTCCCCAACCAGGCCAACAGCCACAAGGCAACAACCAAAACCAAAATGGTATGAATAACTGGTTCCAAAAGATTTTGAGCAGTCAAGATGAGGAAGGAAATGAAGATTCTGAAAAAAAGAAGCAAAAGCGAGTCCGCACCATGGCTGCAGCTGCCGCCATGATGGCTTCCAACAAGAACCCGGGTGGCAAGAGCAAGAACTTTGAGACAAAGGCCAGTCGTAATCTTGCCAGATTGGAATCCATCTGTCGACCGATTCCAGTTCCAGCCCCTGAAGATCCTGTTCGATCAAAGTCGTGGGAGTCCTGGATTGCTCGCGAACGAGGTGCTGTGGTCTTCCGCAAGAACCGAAGCACATTGAATCAACAATTGGAAGATCGAAAGTTGGCGTTGGAACAACACACAGGAACACGTGGTGCTGGATCGGCCTTGCGGCAAATGCTCAGCGTCCGTGATATCACTGGCGAAATCGAAGAAGTTGTCAAATGCGCTGTTGAGTTGGAGGCTGCCAAGAGTCTGCGGCACCATGAGACTTCAGAAGAGTCCCACAACCGAGAGGCAAAATTGGAATTAGATATTTCCTTGAGTCAATTGATTGTTGCGGAGGACGACACCGCCGAGAAGCAAGTGGAAAGTTCCAAACCCACCAAGGAGAGGGGCTCTGTACAGTTCATCCACCCATCCAGTTTGGAGACAGCATTGACCATGCGATGTCGACTCAGTCCCTCGCCATCCGGTGGACTTTCGGTTACTAGCTCGCCCATTTCTCACCGAACCAAGGAAGAGATCTCCTCCTTGGCACAAGACAAGCACGAGCGAGCGTTGATATCCCAAGTGGTGTCTCCTCAAGATATCGGTGTGACCTACGACATGATCGGTGGCCTCACCAACGTGAAGGAATTGTTACGACAGAGCATTACCTACCCTCTCAAATTCCCGCACTTGTACAGCGAGGGAATTGCTAGAGAGGCAGTCAAGGGTGTTCTGCTATTTGGACCTCCCGGAACAGGGAAGACAATGCTTGCTAAGGCAGTCGCAACCGAGGGTGGTGCCAGTTTCCTCAGCGTGGATGCTTCCTCGGTCGAAAACAAATGGCTTGGAGAGTCAGAAAAGAATGCCAAGGCAGTCTTCACTTTGGCCCGGCGTCTCGCGCCTTGTGTCATCTTCATCGACGAGGTGGATTCGCTCCTCTCCAGTCGAGAAGGAAGCTCGGACGACTCTGCTCATGGAACCTTGACAAGTGTGAAGACAACGATGATGAGTGAATGGGATGGTTTGAACTCCGGAACAAATGGATCTGGAGATCGCGTTGTCGTTATTGGCTCAACAAATAGACCATTTGACTTGGATGAAGCTGTTTTGCGACGATTCCCACGACGTATTCTGGTGGATTTGCCAGATCTGGAAACCCGACGAGAAATCTTGGAAGTCACTCTAGCCGAAAACAGACTGGCAGCTAATGTCAACTTTACTGAAATTGCGGAACGCTTGGAAGGGTACACAGGATCAGATATCAAGGAGGTTTGTCGCGAAGCCGTCGTTCAGATTAGTCACGAACAAGCACGATTGCTGGACCAAGGATTTGCGAATTCCGATGAAGATGTCACTGAAGGATCACTGCAGCGACTGCGACCAGTCACTATGGATGATTTTGAATCGGCTCTCTCCAAGCTAAAGAGAAGTGTATCCGAGAAGGGCCGAGAACTTGCTCGTGTATGGGAATGGAATGACGAGTATGGCGAGATCAAGAAGGAGAAATCGAATCATCTTCCTCAACTAATGAACATGTATCTGTAATAGATCAGCATGTAATTCAGTCGCTATTATAATCAATACGATTAGATTTTGATTGTCTTTGTTGCAATTTGACAAAAAGTAGAAAACCAAAAGTTTCAATCATTCCATCGCGAAATCCCTCTTGAATGCAATGTAATCTTGCCGTCCAGTCCGGTATGGTCGTAGACTAGCAAAATGGAGGGAAAGCACATCCAACATTGGCGAACAGCAGGGATCATGTAGTACCTCTGGTGCTCAGCACTAAGTTGATTCCACAATTGATGCAAGTATTTTCTCGAGCCGTGACCAATGTCTGGTCACTTTCCAATACAATTGCTGCGCAATCTCCTGCCTTATGTAATCCCATGAATTGTTCCGTCACTTTCGATCCCCATAGAGCAATTTCCAGCAGCGACTGCGCCTCCATCCATTTGTGCACTGCCAATTTCCGGCAAACAGAAGCGACTTCTGAAGCAATGGATACGGCATCTGAAGCGTCGACCATGCCCAAACTAGATCGAAGCTCTTCCCTCCACTGGGGCAGTCCCAAGATTGACACACGGGGCTTCAGGACTACAGGAAGCAACGATTTTGTCACATTCACTGCGTGTGATGAGCGATTTTTGAACAGGTAGTCTAACGGTGTACATCCAAAGATGTCTTGAGATCGCATAATGATATCCACAGAGGATACTATCGAAAGAGGCTCTTGAAACAGGCGCAAGCACGGCATTTGAGATAACCCAAGGACATGGAATGGAGTCATTCCTACGAAATCCACTTTGCTGCAAGCATCTGGGTCGGCTTTCATGATATTCTGGATGCCGTCAATACGACATGATCTAATTCGTGTGACGGAGGAAGACAAAAGTTGACAAGAGAGTCGTATCCACACAGTTCGCCTGGAAAATAATCATAATCAACAAATAGAACGCCCTTCATCAATTCGGGCACTTCCACTGAGAGCAATGAGGTACACTCAGCAAACGCAGCATTGCTAATGTATTCGACCGTTGGCGGGATCCAACGATGCGTCAAAGAAGTACACCCCCGGCCGGAAGTCTCTTCTTTAATCGATTTCAGACTTGTCCGTGGAAGAAATATGTGTTTCAGTTTTGAACAGTGAGCAAAGGCGGAACTCGCAATGCTTAGCCAAATTACGTCGCGAAAGGTCTAAATGCGTCAACCACAATCTTCCAAAGCCGAAATTCCAACGAAGATTGGCACTATTGAAGATCTTCACAAAACTCGGACATCTGTCCGAATCATCTATCAATAGTTTAGTCGCAAAGAACTTCCGGACACCCTCACTCGTGAGTCTCAACGGACGGACATGCACACCATCTTCCATCTTGTCAACGATTGCACTCAACACTCGACATATATAATAAAACAAAGGAACCTCACCCGGTCCTAACCACAACTAGCACCGGCGCATGCTGAAAATTTTCAACAACTTCAGCAGCGGAAACAACCACCATAGCAATGAATCCTTATCCCAACAACTTATACAACGTTGAGGAAGACGATGACGAAATTTCCGAACCAATCGAGGATGATGCAGGCTTTTCTGATGGTGAATACGATGACGACGAATCCGATTCCTACTACAGCGAAGGAGAAGGAG